GACTTGCAGTCTGGAAGAATCCATTGCGTCATTAAAGCGAGAAAAGACGAAAAAATTGCTACCTTAAAAAATTCTCAAGAATTGATATGTTTCCGAATTCACGACGCTGTGATTATAATATCACAGCTAATATCAATCATATAAGCTTGTACTTTAACATCCTAAACGATGAAATCTTCCAAAATTGTGGCCGTGCGACCGCAGATTCCGTGAATGTGAGGCACCGATTTTCTTCATTACTTTATGTTCTGCAAACTTCTGGTTGGCTTCCTTACATCTGGAAGGTTAGCTGCATGTTGTCATACGTAGCTTCGCAAAATTAACACGCAGTTTTGGTTTTTCCGAATTAGTTTAAACTTTAAAACAATGCTAACAATGCCAAAATCAATGGCGAAACGTTAAATCATTTCTGTGTTGTGTTTTACACTGAGAAAACTGTTGCATCAATAAAGTAATTTAAAAATAATGATATCGTCCCTCTTTCGACTTTGCTGAATTGTAGAAGTCGGAATCTCTCGAGGACTGGATCAGTTTTGGCCAATTCTAATAACATATAAAAAAAAGTCAAGTTCGAGAGTCGGAAGACAATGATCTGATTGTTGAGTGCCACAAAGATTCTTTCATTGCTTAGATTCAGTTCACCAGTACTGTACTGCAGTTGATCAGAATATATTTTCTTCAAAAAGGACAATGTGAGATGATCATCCGATTATTAAACAATTTGCAACGGTGTCCCGAGTTCGGCTACTTGGAAAGGAACAGAAACTCGAGAGTATACGATGTGCAGTGCGTGTGTTCCGTAAGCGTGGGTACGCACATGTATGCAATTAGCGTCAAATACTGCCTTTTAAGAGAAGCCAAGCAACATACTTAAACATTGAAATGCACGCTGTGAGTATTGAAGAGTTAAACTTAGACTGTGAGCTCTTTCTAGATCGCTGAGTGATGAGAATATGACAAGCAGATCAGTACAGATTCCACAATAATGAAAGCTTAGTAAATGCAAGTCAGAGATATTTCACTTTCAGCCATGTCAAAGGGAATGGGTTATCCGCATTCCAGATCGTTATGTATTTGATGGAGAAGTAGCTCGAAAGACAATGGAGCTCGGAGAAATGAACCTTGAAGTGGAACTAGAAGATGAAAACCAAGAATGTATACATCACTGATGTCCATCTGCAATTCATTCACCATTTTACGCTTATTAAAATTCATCCAACATTTAAATTTTTAATAAGCAGTATGTAACAGTGCTGACTGATGTGGGCAGCAAGTCTTTGTAGTAAGCAGTTGATATTCTTTTATTTGTTAGTAAGTGGAAATTTGGGTAATTTCAATTTACACTTCCATTTTGTTTTGACAGAATTTTTCATATTTTTATAAGATGCTGTATTCGAGATAAATGTCACTAAAATGAATGTTCAAGCTATTTCAAATTTGTAATACTTTCCATATGGAATACATTTGATAAGATCACATTATGGAACACAATTCAATTTATGTCTAATGGCGGTGTCTTCCCTTCTTAATCATAAATCAACTTTTACCAACTCTGTACCTAAAATTATAAGATTTTTATGGAAAATCGGATAAATTTTTCTTTGAATATTGTTTTCTGATGTTTTCTGAAATTTCCAAAACATTTTGGATGGTCTCAGATAGAGAAATCATATCTATCAATTGGAAAATGAATTTTTTTAAGTGAAGTTAAGTACCAATAAGTTAAGTTTTAAGCACGGTTCAGTTTTTGCGTCCTAAACTTAAGAAAAGTGATGGATCGAAAATCAATTAATCATCAAGTAAGTACATCGCTACGTTTAGTTCAACTGAAGCTCAGATTTTATCGGAAATAAGATATATATAACAACAAAAACAATTATATTGAAATGTATCACTTTTAAATTTCAATTTTTCATGACCATTTAGACCGGTATATATATATATATCAGTACTATGTTCTATCTACAATCGAAGTTCCAGGATGCAAAAATCAAAAATTTACAACTATGTGATATTTTCACTTTCCGTTAAAGGTGTAGTGAATGACAATGTATCGCGGTGTATTGGGCGCAATAATCGTACTGTTGGTGTGCGCGTCGCATGGTAGAATCATTCCGCAACAGCATACCGGCATTCAAAGCTACAACGTATCATTTTTAGAACTTCACATAGTCCACATTTAATATTACCTTCAGAGAATTGAATCTCATGTATTAAATGCAGGTAACTGGAAGACTGTTTTGTGGTACCGAACCAGCTCCAGGTATACGAGTTAAATTGGTCGATGATGACTTTGGTAAGAGATGATATTATATTTCTCGCTATAGATTTGCCAAAACCACCAGATGATTTACTCTGCTAAATGGATAGAATTCCAATGTACCAGATTCTGCTGATTCACTATGTCAGTTCTAAGTAATATTATAATATCAACCCATTTTGAAAAAGAGAATGATCTCAGGGTCAGATCCAGATGATGAATTGGATGCAGGTTACACCGATCAACATGGTTATTTCAAATTATCCGGTAACACCAATGAAATGACGACTATCGATCCTCATCTTAAAATCTACCATGATTGCAACGATGGCGCTACTGTACGTATATTTATACTTCTTTTTAACTATTAAACATTAGCTCTAGTTACCCGCTTATTGGACTTATCACTTCCAAAGGAACATTTTTGAACAATACTGATTAATAGATAGATGATAGACGGTCTGAAAAGCCTTTAAATATTGAGAATAATAATTAGCCAAAAGGAATTGCACAAAGTGCTTATGTTGTCGTTGTATTCCAATTAAGTTATATTTTCACCACGTAAGTTATATTTTTATTTCAATCTGACTGCAGATTTTAACGTTTATATATGTATACACTTATTTATTAATTTACTTATTTGAAGCCATGTCAACGGCGCTGGAAATTCGAATTGCCGAACCACTACATAACAAACGGTGAAGTACCGCAAAAGGCTCTCAATATTGGCACATGGAATCTGGAAGCCATTATGCCTGATGAAAGCCATGATTGTATCCATTAGCAATACAGATAGTTAACCACTCATAATTACTCCAAGTAACAATCTGTCTTAGGTGCTTCAGGAATTCCTACACATCCATGGGAACGGGCAAACTGGTTTCATTAATAATTTTAAAACGACAAATTTCAGAATATTAACCCTTTATACGTATTTGTCTGAAAGATTGGTATTTTAAGCACACAAAGTTCGAAAATTGGCAGTAAAAACCGTCTAAAATTATAGTGTCCCATTGTCATTTTCATGAATTTCTTCACTATATAAATGACCGTGGGATGGAGAGGGCAGGTCAATAGTTGAAATCTTGCGATCAAAATTCGTCTGTTTCTAATCTTCCAAGGGACATTTCGATTCAGCTGTCAACACAATTTTTTTTTCCTGATCCGATGTCAAATCACGGTTTGCTCATGTCATTTGCGTTGCAACAAAAAAAAAGTATTTTTGTGCTAGTATGTATATCACATAAAAATAATTCGGAATACAATTTGTGTACATTATATCAAAACACTCAAAAATAGTGCTACCAGTCGGCGTTTCATTTCATGCCGAGAGTTTTGAAAGGATTTGCAGCATCTTTTAGTGGATAAACAAAAAACACGATGGCTTCTTTTCCTCTCACGAACACTGCCTTCCACGCACGCCAATTTTAACTATCTCCTATCTCCATCAAAGTCTCTGCCAACGAAAGAGGAAAAGATACCGCAACCGGTAAGTCATATGACCAGAGCCAACCATTTCCAGATGAAACAGTGAGTCATAGCGGTGTTTGCAGGCTTACAATTTCGTTTGTCACGTTGGAATGCGGTTTGCCTCAAAGGTTCCTGCTTGGTCTTGTTATGAATTGATGGGATTGGGATGTGCAAATGGGAGGTGCAGTTGGCTTCTTCTTGTTTTTTGTTAGAACTGAAGCCGTAACTCAGAACTATTTTGGAAACAAGCATCTTTTACTTCTTTGAATTCGTTTTTAAATGTTATCTCGTATACAGAGCTCTTGGTTGCTAACTGCAAATCACGTTATTTAATTGTAAGAAACGAATGATTAAATGGCACTAAATAAACAGAAGACGAAGTCTTTCATTGTGCTTCCTCCATGATTACGTCAAGTTCATCGGCTATCCTTTCCCTCTCAGTGCTTCTTTGTATATGTAGAGCAGTCACGTTACTACTCTACTAGATTAATGCGACTTTTTATTTTTTTTTTCTTCATAATTTAAATTGTACTCAATGAATATTGGCAAAGTTTGGAGGTGTTTTTCTTGGGAACTCAGTTTCCAAGTCTACCATTGAGACATACTCCTAAGGACTTGGTTTCACTGTTTTAAAATCACCCAATTAGTATGCTATTCCGAATTTTATAGCTAAACCATTATACGTATTGCATTTAGCACAATATTGTTTTCAGAATTGGTAGATTTAAGTGTCCTTCACAGTCTTAATTTACTTGCAACCTCCTTTTCAATATTCACGGAATTTATTCTCAAACAAAAATCAAAGATAGGGGAGTGCTGTGTATGTCACACTACATGAAAAAGAATGCGGAAAGTCACTTAAAGTTCAGATACGACAATTTTTAAGGTGCGATGGAAGCAGTAGCGGAGCACGATTTCAATGCCACAGCTGAGGATGAGCTCAGTTTTCGGAAAAATCAAATTTTAAAGGTTAGCTAGATTCACTCCTATTTAGAAGAGGCTGCAAAAATTTCTTTTCAAGAGAATCATGCTCAAGTGAAAACGTGTGGAATCTTCACTAAGTGGTTCTAACCTTAGAATGCAATTTAATCACAATATCGACATCAGGTTTGGGCAACTCAATTCATATGGACTAGCAGTGTTTAAGCGTAGAGATGCACCACCAAAAATATTCAGTAAGGCAAACATTTGCTTGTTAGATCACGGAAACTATTTGGTTTTTGCAATACATATCAGATAGATGAATTAAGAGCAGGTTGTATGTCTTGCAACTTTTTAAATGAAACTGATACAGGCGCGTTTTTATTTATTCTCGTAATACTTTGAATTGAGTTATTATACGGTTAAAGGTAGTCTAGATAGATAGCAAGCGATATAGTCGCTAACAATTAACTAAAGACTTCAATCACATTCAGTTACTTTTTTGGAAGAAGATCTGGTTCATAAATTTATGCAGAATTTAAAGTTTGTGCTTTATTTAAGTTTTTGATCTGTCATAAAATTTTCAGGTTTTAAATAAGGATGAAGATCCACATTGGTATAAAGCAGAATTAGATGGACATGAGGGTTTCATTCCCAGTAATTATATCAGAATGAATGAGCATAATTGGTTCGTTTTTTTTTTAATTACTTAGCAACTTTAACTCACTACTGCTACCTCACAGTATGACATTGTTTAATGAACCTGAACATAGTAGTTTGAGATTTTTAGTTTCGAAGTCATTAGATTGTTTAATAGTTTTTCTTGTCACGTGTGAAAGTGTATTCGTAACATTATATCTGGAAAAGCAAGGCTTTTGACACGTCATGGTCGTGGATTTATTTTGGAATGCATATTATATTTACTTACAGAACGTTTCTTTGTTTAGGTATCTTGGGAAAATTAGTCGTGCAGATGCAGAAGCATTGTTGTTGCGATCGGGAAATAGTGATGGTGCATTTCTTGTGCGGCAGTCCGAGAGCTCTCCTGGCGATTTTAGCATTTCTGTAAGGTTAGTGGCTCATTTAACATTTTTATGCTTCTGTTGCATCTATTGCGTTGTCAACAATTAAGATATCTAAATTGCTGAAGGGATATTAAATAAAAGTGGTAGACCTTGTTTCAGGTGTTGTTTGTTGGTTGAATTATTTAAAAATGTGATGACATGTCTAGTTAAAGTTCTTAATGACTGATAATATGATGTGTATTGATGATGAAGTTGAGTTGATGGGGAAACATTTGTGAACGAATTTATTAAGACTGATTACCAAGTCGTGGCCAGTTTTACCATGTGCTTTCCAAATTCCTGCGTATGATGAGGAAAACAATTCAAATATCCAGTATATTGCATGATTTTTTTGTATTTTTACTAGAATAGCTTCATGTATGGCATCAATAAGATAGTACTCAGAATAACGAATACCTTCTTTCCTGCCAGTTTTATGCTTGTCTGTTCATTTAACTTTCGTACTGAAGTTTTTTAATCTAATGAGGATGACTGAAAAAGTATTGGTTGAAATTTCTTAATTAATTTTACCTGAAAAACTTGTTTTATAGGTTTCAAGATTCGGTGCAGCATTTTAAAGTGCTGCGCGACAATAATGGCAAATATTACCTTTGGGTGGTAAAATTCAATTCCATCAACGAATTAATCAATTACCACCGGTAAGCATACGGTTTATTAGCGTTAATCATTCGGGAATTGGTAGAAAGGGTAGCTGTATTCTACTTTATGATTTCTTGCTTTACATCACATTATTACTAATTCATATTTGTTCTATTCCTCTCCTACATTTGTTTTTTTCACATATTTTTTACAGTTTAGTTTTTTTATGATTGCATCTGGATTATCTTCTGATGAGCCAAATAACCGTTCCTTGGAAAAGATGATTATTAAGCATTGAAATTACGAAGGAAACAAACTGCAAATATGTATTTCAGGTCGGCATCTGTTTCTCGTTCGCACACAATTTTGCTTCAAAATATGAATAGCGTGACAGCTCAAGGTACTCATTTGGTGCAGGCCATGTTTGATTTTAAGCCACAAGAAGATGGTGAACTGGGTTTCAAGCGAGGAGATATTATTACTGGTAAATGATAGAGGTTAATGTCACTGTAAACTGAGTACTATGTTTTTTATTTATTTTTTAAAATTTAGAACATGGCTGACTAAAATTTCAAGAAATTGCGAGCTTTTAAAAAAAGTGGCTCACTCTGTTTCAGTGACAAATCGAGAAGATGAAAACTGGTGGGAAGGTATGTTGAACGGAAAAGCGGGCATGTTTCCAGCAACTTATGTTTGTCCATTCAATAATTCTGCAAGTGCTCATTAAAATACTCAACTATGTATCCAGAGAAATGCTGCTACTTTATTCTTCATTTTTTGTCCTGGATAATTCTTGTTAAATGCCCTTCCAATCCTTTTAGGATTACAGTGTTCATAATCGAGTCCGCGGTCTCCATTTCGTTCCATGTTCAAAACCTATGCATTATTTTCAAGCTAATTTCATGATTTTTAAGGTTTTTATCAGACAGAAATTAGGCTTAATAATTTATATGGCATTATTGTGTATTTTGTTTATTAGTTGCCATTAGTGCAGGTTTTTTCCTGCTAACTAAACAAATTGGTAAGCTACTGAACCACAGTCAATATAACTCTAATGGAGGTCTGACTTTTGTGGATATATTAAAAAATAAATCATGGTTCTAAATTAAATTTTAGGCCTTGTGAATTGTGAAATAAATTTGAATATGATCTTTGAGAACGATCTAAAGCTATCCAATTTTACTAGCATACATGTTCATTCTGAATTTGTGTGTGTGTGTGTGTGTGTGTGTGTGTGTGTGTGTGTGTGTGTGTGTGTGTGTGTGTGTGTGTGAACAAACCGTTTTGGGAAGTAAAAAAGTTTGCCTTCGACATTTCAGGTGTGATTAATCTTGTGTAAATTATAGTTTTTATTGAGATTGTCACAGTATTCTGAAGTTAGGTTAGGAAGGAATTATGCAGTCGAGTTTGATGCTAAATAATATCACACTCTATGATAATATTGTTATGTTTTACATCTGTCATTGTATTATGCACTTATTCAGTTTACCATTTCTTTCACTTTTTGAAAATATCGTTTTTTATTTTTTGTTATATGTTTTCTTCAGCTATCATATAGTTCTCTTTCGCAATTTATATTTTTGCAACAAGTTTTTAAATCTTTTTTCTTTTCATAAAAACATGTTATATGCAGATATCTGCCTGCCATTCCTTTTTATTGTTCATTGTAACAATTTTTCAAAATATGTCAAATTTCCATGGGTTCTGTTGTTTGACTATTCCTTTAAATTATTTTCTTAATTCTTGCAATTCTTAAAAAAGTTCGTTAAGGTAATTCTGTGCAGATCTTTGTGAGATAGTAAAAAACAGTTGAAATTTTGAATATTTGTATAGCCGATAGATTTTTAGAAATATTGTGCCGCTATAAGAAAGATGATTGCAAGTGATACGAAGACACAGTAATAGTCATGAAATCTTGAATATTTTAAAGTCGTTTGAGATTACTAGAAAATATTTATTAAGAATGAATGGGGAAAAAAAATTTTTTTAAAGAGAAAGGAGCAGAGTGAATATTCTTTCACTAAAGATAAAGGTGCTGACAAAGGTCAAGTTGAAAAATACATAGTTCATTAAACATCTTTGCACTTATTTGAAACTATAGATTTTAGTTCATACTATCATATTTTTCCTTCATCAATTAATACACGTTTCTCTGTCGTGGATGCAGCCATTTTTTGAATGCTCCAGTTATTTTCAAGTATGTACCAACTGTGGCATTTAATTCATTTTGTTGCTTCCAATAGGATTTATTGGGATTTCGTCGTTTGGATGCTGAAAAACGAATATCTGTCACCACCGGTTTGCTCTTGCTATTTGTTTTTTTGTCATGGTTTATGTTCTCTTCTGTATTTGCACAACACTCGAAATTTATTTCGGATATATTTAGACCCTTTATGTGAGTGCTACAGGGTAAGATCAGTATTGTTAAAGCCTTGTTTTGAATATGTACGTGTTCTCATACGTGACATTTTTTGATTGGAAAACATTTTAAAATGTTCTGAATTTGTGAGGGAACTGAAATAAGTTTTGCAAGTGTCCCGTTAGTCTCTTCAGCTCAAAACATGTGTCTTATTCTCCTTATATTGCCTGCGCTTTCAAACATATACTGGAAAAAAAGCACATCGGCTGAATAAGCAAGAACTCTTTCCCAGATTTATCGAACTTTTTAAAACTGATTTTTTTTACAAAACCTTTTTTTCATATAAGTTTAGATTTCTGCTTGAAATCCATAAATTAGGGAATTTTTTTAGTGTTGTCGATGTTCTGTTTCTTGTTGTAGATACTATTTCTATTTCAATAAAAGCTTTTATACTTCAATAAGTTGTTGAAATTTACCGATAGTTTTTAGTGGTCTATCCTCACATTTCTGCTAATAATAATGGTATTGGGACGATAGTCTTCACTTATAGAAGCTAATTCATCTCTCTTATTTCCTTTAGCTTACTGACTTATAACGCTTAAACCTCACTTTTTGTAATTCCCATGTGTCACCACTTCAAATTTCACCTTATGCGTGCCAAACAATTTCATCCAAGCCGAATTTCTAACCAAGTATTTGTTGGCTGATAGTAAAATGAAGAATAAAGTCAACTGACGTACTGGAGAATGGCCACCGAATTAAAGTTGGAGCAGTACGATGTTAATAATCCAAGGTATATATGAACATCAAACTCCTTAAGTCATTTCTAAATTTTTGTCCAGTTTACGAAGAGGATTTAGACCATTTTAGAACCGCCCATTAGAAGAAAACCTGCAACTTTGCACTGTTTTAAATAGCTCTACATTGTTTTATATAGAGATGTTGAAAGTGATTGATTTCCGATTTTCACGCGATTTTTCTTTGCTTTTTCAATTGGTTCAGTTCACAGGGCAGAAAATTTCCCCGTTTTTCGGCTAAGGTTTTGTTCAGCTGTTTACCTACATATCTTTACAGATGGGATCAAAGTAAATTTTCGGGACGTTTGCGTTATTTTATAGCAATCACTAATCCGCTGAAAGCATTTGCTAGCCTGGATACACTTCAAGATAGCAAACGTTTGCTTCAATTATACAGGTTTGAAATTTCTCACATTAAACAGGTTTCTCAAGTATGTTTGATGACAAGTTACAAGTCTTTTTCCAGATGATTGGCAAATTACATGATATTAATATTTCATGATTGGATGAAATGATCTTTTTAATAACTTTATACTTATACTTTTAATAGGTAGACAGATACATGAAAATTGTTTGTTGATTTTTTGCTTGCAGTGAGGAGTTGGAGGATTTCTAAATCATAAATTGGTCTATTTCAATTTTTTTTTGGCAGGGCTGGCAAAGAACCATATGGTACTACTGTGGAAGATTTGCAGCGCGCTCAAGCATTTTATGCATCAGCCTTTCATCCGGACACTGGCCAGTTACAAACATTACCGGGACGTATGTGTGCTAATGCGTGGGGAGGTACATTACTTTGCGGAGCAATGATGCTGTGGTATAAGTCAGTGCACTGCATATTTTGATAGGGTTGGTCAGAGAATTGGTTAGGTTTCATTGACGGAATGTTCTTGAGTAGAATGCAACCTGTGTTCCTGTAGGTCATTTTCAAGGACGGCAATTAAGTTTAAAAAAGCTGGATGACTGTGAATTTATAGACTTGACTAAAAGTTGTTTTCGATTCTTTTCTTCTTCTGTCGCAGCCATGATCTTTATTTAGAAGTACGAGAGCCGTAGTTTTCTGGCAATGGGCTAATCAGTCCTTCAATGCAATTGTCAATTATACCAATCGGAATGCGCAAAGTCCTCTGTCAAAAAGGTTAGTCTTTTTCTAAATTTGGCCGTAAATTTTCCAGGCTCATTAATCCCTCAATGTGAACTTGTTACACTTCTTTCCTTATTTTATCAATATTTCAACTGAAATATCAAACAAGGAGACGATTAGACTAGATATCTATACTTGTATAATTGTTACTGAGGCATTAAATAATGTTATAATTCAACTTTTGGTACTTCTGACACTGATTTGCAGAGATTTATTGGTTGCATATACCTCAGCGGTTATTGGTGCACTTGGTGTTGCTGTAGGCTTGAAGAATTATCTAGCAAAGGTTACTCATTTCTGCATAACTATTCCTCTTTTCGGTTGGAGACTCATTTTTATTTGACGCTTGCTTTTTAAAAAGTTTATTTAATAGTTTTTGGTGCGCATTGTTGATGTTAGGGCTTTTTTTTAGCGTGCACTTTCGCCACTATTCCAGCGTTTCGTGCCTTTGGCTGCCGTAGCAGTTGCAAACGTTATCAATATCTCTTTCACACGACAAAAGTATTATATTTTTGATTTCTCATCCTTTTTATTCACTCACGGAAAACAACAATGTTATGAGTTGAAAACATTCGCATCTTTTTATGAAAATTCAAATTTTTTATTTTATATTTGCAGCGAACTACTCAATGGCCTTCCGGTAACAAATGAAACGGGACAAGTAGTAGCAAAATCAAAGGTAGTTCTTTTTTATTCTTTCGACATTTTAATTTGATAAAGTTAAGTATCGTCCTTTATTTACAGTTAGCAGCATGCAAAGCAATCAGTTTAGTAGTATGTTCGCGTAATGTTATTGTGGCTCCAAGCATGTGTTAGTTTTGTTCCACTTAATATTTGAAATGTATCATCAGTTTAATTTTTGTTCTAAGTAAATAGAGACTTTGAGTAAATTGATGAACTGCTTACTATAATGTATCAAAGGAATGTGCTACCGCTTTTTGGACTTAACATTGCAGTACTAATACCCCTGATTATGAATGCTATGGAGAAATATAACTGGTATGTCAATCGCGCTAAATTCTTGAACATACCAATGCAGCTTGTACTTACTTTCGTCCTGTAAGTATTTACTTTTATAGTTTGATCAACTGCATATTATTGTACAAGCGTATAACAGAGCAACAATTGTAATGGAAGTATTTATTGTTGTGACGAATAATTTTAACAAAGGTTTATTTGATAGATTGTTCATTCTTCTATGAACGTTATAAGGCAGTTATTAGAATATCATGTTGAAGTAACGCCCAAATAATACAAAGTACTGATAGTAGCACTAGTCAAGGTGAACTGGAAATATAAGTAAGGTAATAGTGAATAATAATGACTAGCAATAAAGTACCATAAAATAACAATAATGAAGATCCTACTTGAAGCATTCTATTTATATTTCTTTTGGACAAAAGTGAGCCAAGCAATATTTTGCAAATATTTAACAGTGAACACATCCGTTTTTTTTTATAAGTGATCAAAATAAATCGCTGCTTAATCTTTTACATCATTTAACGAGCGAAATACATTATTTATGGTGCCTTGAAAACCGTAATACATCTTGACCTATAGGAGAACAATAATTGTGGTACAAATTTCTACAGCACAAAAATAGTTAAATTATTTCAACTGATTTATATTATGAAAATATTTTGGTTTTCCGACAACGGTCGATAACAGACACCATATAACAACAACTAATAATAGCAACTGAGGAGATAAATCCTGTTGAATTCGCGATGTTTCACTTGGATCTTCGTGCACTTTATAAAACATAGTTGCCAGATAAAAATTTTAAGGAAATTGTAAATTTGTAAGTTCGCAAGTATGCAGAAAATGCGAAATATGCGAAAATAAATTTTAAATTTCGGGAAAAAGTACAATGGGAAACAGTAGTTCTTATTGGTAAAAAAGACTTCAAAAATTACTTGGTTATAATTTCCAATTTGTATCATCAATTTTTGTAGATATGGATCAATGATACCAGTTGGCTGTGCTCTTTTTCCGCAAATTAAGTATGCTTATTTTATTTTTTTTGGTTTCATGAAATTTTGTAATATGTGAATCGGAATATAAATTTCGAAGTGAAGGTTAGATTAACAAGAAAATATAGAAGGAGGGAGAAAAAGGAGAGTCATGAGAGAGGGAGAAGACAAGCAGGATGTAATTAAAATTAATCTTTTTCTAAATCCTTTTTTTCTAGCAGTGTTAAAGCTACAACATTGATGCATTACGAACCAACAGCTTATGAGGAGCTAAAACATCATATGGGCGTGAATATGCTTGCAACACAGCGTGTTTTTTTCAATAAAGGATTGTGACGATAAAATAGACTATCCTTACAACAAATTAGTCATCAGGAGTCAGTTTTTCAAACTGTCGAGAGTCGCAAAAGTATCTTCGGACCTTTTGTGTGGGTTGTTGTTCTTATATACCTCGTTGCTTCTTGGAATTATTTCTCAGTTTTCAATTCTAATTTTGTGTTAGTTAAGTCAGCGTGTAGTAGCAAATCAAATGTTAATGTAACATAAATTTGAACATGGTTAAACAGAAGACAATGAAGAAACCAAATTATCTACATTATCATTTCAATAGTATAAACCGTTCGTTACCAGTCGAGAAAAAGAGATTCCTTTATTCTACTTTATAAAGCGTTTTGACTCGATTTCCATATTTGCATTTGACAAGCAGTTGAACTAAGTTAATGAATTACTGCAAGGTTATTTTTGAATGCATGAAAATAGTTGTGAGTCCGCTTCAGAGTTTAAAGACCACAAAGTTCGAGTTCGTCATCTCATAATGCAAATAGTAACGAATAAAAGCATCGAAACTCGTAGGATATATTTCCGTATGTTTCATATCGAGAAATTTTTTTCGCTTCCATTGGTTTAGTGAAATTCTAAACTATAACTTTTTATTTGGTCTAGAAGTGAATTGAGATGGATATCTCGAACTTTCAAAACCACAAACACTGAACATTAAATAAGGTAAAAATAAAGTTGTAATGGGAACCATCTTGAACTGGCCTTCTTAAAAAACCACACCGTTACTGTCTAATCCTCGATCATACAATATTCAAACACACAATGTTTTCTCAGAACAGAGAGAGCCATAACTTCTTTAATGATCATTTTTATCATAACTAAGAAGAAAAGATAAAGATGTTAAAATAAAGACAAGGTTGCAGAGAATATAGACGGCTTAACAGAAAAGCTTTTTGTTTCATGTGTGGGACATTCGATATTTGTTTATGAATTCATTAAATTAATAACATCCTTACTGATGGATAAATAAGATTACACAATTCGACGGATGGTGCTGTTTATCTTGTTCCACAAGTTTTATGGCTATCTTCTACAAGCACAAAAGGGGCTACGTACATGGCTCTCCAAGAATCACATGCGCGGCGATTACGTCCAGCATGCGACATCAAATGATGGTGCCGAAATGACATCCAATGACATCCATATGCAACTGGACGACTTATTGGAGTCGGTTTTTGTCACCACATCCCTCTTCACAATGTTTTTGCACCCTAAAAATCACCTATTCAAGTAATCATCCAGTTCAATATACTCTGTCAGCGAATTACATCACGATATATCCTCACATCAACCCATTGAGAATCCCTCTGTGCGCTTAACTTTGACGGGGAGAAGTAATGACACTGGACAGTTGGACAGTCCACTCATTCACCAAATCTTCACGAGTTAGCTTCGGGACAAGACCTATATGTATGGACAACTGACCACTATCACTACCTTGCCCTCTTCCCTTCACTCATGCATTTATCCATCCCATCCATCCATTCATCAATGCCGGTGGCAAGTTGACTCCGAATTGTGGCGAGTTAGCTTACGCTGCAAGGTTATTGAATTGCGCTCTTGCGGCGTCCGGGATTGCATTGATGCGGGTCTGGGATCGGTATGTACATTTCTTAGTTTGAAAAGTCATTCTCGGGACGTTATTTAATTGGCAGGAACATCTTGGGCTCGTCAAATCAGGCTATAGGATCTGCGCTGTAGCATAACTAATTAGGACGTCTCCCGTCATAAACAGTCAGTGTTTCTTGAATCTTTTTTATTGAAGGGTTTTTTTTGAAATTGAGTTATTTGTGGTTATCCTGAATGCGGCTTGCTGCTTATATCCGCTTAGACGTTACATTTATGAGCAGCTTTATGCATTCATCTTTCATCTAGTTGTATATTTCACTACAAAATACCGAATATGCTTCTCAGGAATTTTTATCTGAGTTAGATGGATCTCTGACCGATATGAATACTTTAAATATAGGGTTTAATAAATAATTGTTAGTAAAAGTATGCTTTTTGTAGCACAAAGAAAGACAACAATAGGGCTGTAATCATTGCGGATGTGGACAGCTTACAATTAATTGATTCAAATTATCATTTATCCAAATTCATAATAACGTTATGAATTTAGATAAATGGCAGATTTTGATTTATAATTATAAATCAAATTTATAATTACACATCATTATTCATATAATCATATAAATTGCTTCTTGATATCTCCAGATCCTCACCATATTGAAGTTACAGTAAACCGTTGTTCCAATGCATGAATTAAATCGGATCTATTGAACTATGAATTTTATCTGTGATAGCAACTAAGCAAATTATATAGTTACGTCTAATTTTAATTGCTGGAAAATTAAAGTGTATGCAGGTAAGCTATTCGTGCTTCATGATCCTGTTACTTTACCTGACGAAGTACAGTTGTATACTTGTATAAGTATATATATGTATATGCATGTGCATGTCTGTTTGTGAGTGTACATGATGTCACATATTTTCCGACAAAATGTTTATTTTGTGCATCATTCCTTTACTTTTTTTAGTTAGGTATTAGTTTCAATTTGGTTGTTTTATACAAATCACTTAGGAGATGTTAAAGAAATAAGATTTTCAGAGTATAGTTTTTAATTAACTCGGTGATATACTTGAAATTATGTCTTGGCTCCTATCTTTGTATAGTAATGGCTGGTCTCATTGATTATCGCTTCTATTATTTAATGTGTTTAAAATTCCATGAGTTTGTGAGTGCAAAAATTATTTCTCGACATTGTATTGCGCAGTGTTAGTGAATGTCTATCACTGTTGTTGGGCATGGATGTTTGCATGTCATCGCTAATTTCCGGACTGCTAGTAACGTTTTATCGATTGTTTTTCATTTGTTGAAAGCGTATGCTAGAGATGTGCTGTCAAAAGGATATATCTCTGGCATCCAAGTCCAGGTGTAACTTCACTTATCTTCCGTCAGTTCAATAATATTTTTGAAACATATCTGGGAAAGTTAGCGCCTAAAAATGTACAATCTTCTTTTTCTGAGGGAATTGTATAATTCTCGAATTTAAATATGATTCCGAGGATTGTATAATTCTCGGAATTATATTTAAAGCTAAATCTTTTCGAATGGAAAGACACCATTTTTAGTATTATTCAAAAATCGATAAGATAGCATGCATATGGAGTCAATATAGCTGCGATTTTTACGATTTTATACTGATGCTTCTATTGACTATTGATTACTTCATGAAATGTGCAGAATGGAAGTTCTTAGAGATATCAATGGTACCATGCAAAACTGCAATACAAATATTAAATAATTTCGAAATAGTGGATATTCATATTTAAGAAGATGCTTTTGGTTTTTAGGATCAGTATTTTGCAGTGTGATATGTTAGGAAAGCTATCAAGACTAGAGGAAGAATGCTAAAGACGAGCCCAATGATAACGAATCTTTATTTACTACTCTAAAATTTCGGTGTTCACACATTGTTCTGTCTGACAGTTAAGTAAATAACTGGTACCAGTATTTACTAATATAGGTGTGAATCGCGTCTTTCTATGATTCGTGGCTTATTTTCCTTTGTCTTTGTTTGTATCACTTATGACAGTCCATTTCATTTCTGTTAAAGCTGGAGCTTTCTGTGGTGGATATGTGATAAGAACACTGAAATGAATCCTTATCACACTCAGATGTTTAATGTCTCTAAGGGTCAGCGGAAGCGCCGTTGCTTTCCCTCACACCATTGAAACAGCTGTTTAGCATTGATATACTTCCATTTCCTTTACTCAGAGTAATAGAAAGAGAGGGTAAATCATATATTATTAACCTTTTATCGCTTTCGTTTGTTAGCTTCTCCCCCTTACTTTATGTACCTTTTTTTTCCGGATAAAGAGAATTCGTTAATCGGGTGCTGTAATCGTCAGCACTGAAAAAGCGAGGAAAAGATCTTTTTGATAGAGCAGGTATATTATAGTTTTCTTTCTATAAATAAAAGTAGCCTGGTGATTTTTTGGTTGCTTCTTTTCTCGTCCATTCTAATTGTGGCTCTCTTCATTACTTAGAGCTGGAGATTTGAAGTTTAACGACAACCCATTATTATTTAGGTATATTGCAAGTAATTCTTGCAAATTTCAACTCTTCATGCTTCATGCTAATTTAAAGTGTTGGCAAGCGATAACGCTTGCTCATAACATTACATTTATTTTGGTTAACGTTGTTTGATTTTTGATTTACACTTTATTTACGAAAATTTCATACAAATCACTGCGCTGTGTAAAAAACGTATCTGACTTGAAATATTTTGCAGGATCGGTGATACCGTCTTCTCAATATTATGTAGGATTTCTCTTCTTTAGTTGGTCGACTGATTGCTACTAGAATAATCAATATTATCTTAATTATCTTCACCACAACTACTAATTTCATTACTAAATCACTATCAGTTTTGTTGCTACTATCCCATATATCAGAGGCCTTAATTTAATATTTACGGTAGGAAGATGAATGCTTTCATATGCAGTTCTAATAAATACATCTGTAACTTTCATTTCACAATGGCAAATATCGCTGTGATTTGAACGGCAAAGGTAAATTTAAACTTACGCAAAACAAATTTCCCTTGTTTATGTTTAATACATATCTCTACAGCCATATATTTTTATTAGACTAGTTAACTGAAATCATTACAGGCATAAATAAGGAAAAAACAAAATGAGTTGGAATGGCACGATGATGTGCGATGTGATGCCAACTATTTCTGAAGATGGTGTTGATCCTCCACAGGTTTAGTAAAATTCCTGACTTCCATTTTTTTACTATTTGAAAAGAAATTGGTTTGTTAATTTACCTTCATCGTTTTGCAGGGGTCTGGTGCAGAATCAGGTGATTTGTCAGGCTCGACTGGCGATCAGAATCGTATCGAGCAATTGATGGTGAATATGCTCGACGAACGCGACAAATTACTTGAACAGTTGCAGGTGATTAGTTTTAGATCAAAGCAATTTTCGCTCATGGTGTTGGAAATTATTTTTATAATTTGTATGAAATTATAAGCATTCGAACTGAACTCCCTACTGAGATATCAATATAGATTATTAATATCTCAATAAACTTTATTTGTAAGAATTCTAGTTTAGCTTCTTATCCGTTTAATTGTCACGCACAAAATATTTTGTAATATTTCGTTTGATAAACTGACTTCCAATATAAATTGTTGAACCTAAAATTATTAGTTTATGTTTCTTTTATTTGCCAGGATGCTCAACGGCGTATCGACGACTTGCAACAGCATGTGAAAGATACCGAACGTGACAAGGAAAGCTTGCGTAGACAATTCGACTTGCAAACTCAGCATTTGCCCGGAGTTAGAATTTTTAATTCGAAAATTTATGATTCATAAGGTTAGACCGCTGTAATGTTGTAGGAGTGTTGTTAAGATATGCAACTGGCGTCTTTGGGAACAGATCTAATGCGATCTAAATGTATGTGAAAAGGACTAATTGGCTTTTGCTAGAAAACTTATGCTATTGACTGTCAAGCTGTTTATTTCAATTTACTGTTTAAGTTATTATTAAATATCATTGCAGATAAGTAATTTTTACTTGCAGGAACTACAGTCACTAACCAAGGAATTGGCTCAGTTACGTGAACAGTTATTAGAAAAAGATGAAGAAATTGTAGAGTTGAAAGCAGAACGGAATAATACGCGATTACTGTTAGAGCATTTGGAGTGCTTGGTTGGTGCAATTTTGTCCGAATTTTACTTACTTTCACACTGTATATTTTTATTGGTCAAGAAATTCAACTTATAATTGATATCTTCATAGTTATTAATATCAGAAAATTAAATTTTATGACCTTATGGTTGACGCTCCTTTCGTCGACCTATTTTCTCCCCAGGATGAAGCAGTCAACGTTGTAGGAAAGGAAGTGATTGAAAGTAAGGTTAACAGTTCTTGATACAGTTTCATACAGTATTATTCATAGGTCTCTCGACACGAACGATCTTTGCGAATGACAGTTATGAAACGACAGGCTCAGAGTCCAGCTGCTGGTGTGAGTAGCGAAGTAGAAGTTTTGAAAGCACTTAAATCACTGTTTGAGCATCACAAAGCATTGGATGAAAAGGTGAGCTGCTTTTATTCATCATTTTGCCAACTATTCGGAAGAGAAATCATCCATAGTGCCAAATAAAGAATTTTCAGTCAGTATTTGAATAAGTATACAGTTAATTTCTGTCATTAATTTTAGGTCCGTGAACGTCTACGTGTTGCAATGGAGCGTGTTGCAACGTTAGAAGATGAATTGTCGACAAAAGGAGATGAAAATTCGTCTCTAAAGGCGAAATTAGCGAAAGTAATAGCCGAAGTTGAGGAAGCGCATCAGCAGGTTTGTTGTCCGATCTTTTCAGAATCAGATCTAAGGTTATTTATATTAAACATATATTTAAATTTTCAAAAACTGTATCTTCGTCTCTTTCGAAAATAGGCATTGGCTCCCAAAATATCCTGTTTAAATCATGAACTTTGTTTTTTTTTGGCGGTGATGTCAATATTGTGTTATAGCTAAATGCGTCTCAGAATGGGGTAACAGCGGAAAAACAGCAGCAGCAAATTGTGAGTTTTTTGATTATTTGAATGGAAAAGAAGCAATTCTGAACTTTACATAACATCTTTCGAGATAATAAAAGTGACCATCATTCATTTGTTGTTAATTGATTTTTACCAGTGCTGACCGCTTCATATGCGTTTAATGAAGCAAGTTTTATTTTTTAGGGATCGGTAGAATCTGCAGGAGCTCTGGTTGAATTACAAGAAGCATGTCAGCGGTTGAAACAAGAATTATCTAGCAGTATGCAGCAATGTCAGGAATTAAATAATCGGTATCACAATTACATCTGCTTGTTTACTTCTATTTCCCTATTTTGAATACATAGAAAAAATTAACAGTCTATCCATCAGCTTTTTGATAATTATATTATCGATGCAACGATTGTTTGAATATGTAGTTCACTCTATTTGAAGCTAAGGCTTAGAAATGCATGTAATTACAGGAACACAGAATTAGAAGTCCAACTTACTGCAACGCAAAAAGAAGGCCGAATGGAGCAGGATCAGGTTAACAAGCTACAGCATCATCTTCAAGAGGTAGGTGTATATTCGTTCACTATTTTTATCGATTTATTAGAAACAATTAAATGCACTTGTTTTAATTCACACTTATTCGAAAGAAAACCTTTTGTAGCATTCTGTAGTTATAAGCATTTCAGTTACAAGCACAGCGTGAGGATCAAGAGGCACGGATTTCAACTTTGGAAAATCGTTACATGAGTGCACAACGAGAAGCGACATGTTTACGTGATTTGAACGATAAATTGGAGCATCGGGTCAGTAAGTAGTAGCCTGATTTGTACTTATCATTTCATATCCTAAATTAGTTGGAAGTCGACTCGCTCACAGTCGTACATCTTTCAGTTTAAGCTTGATCGGATCTGCTATTTGGCAGAAATTGTAAGTGAATGATCAAATAAGTCAGTATGTGCGAACACTACTGGTGTTTCTTCGAGATCGGCATTTCTTTGAACGTATTTAAAAGTTCTAAAATGGATCCGTACAGTTATGAAAATTCACTCCTCACCTGTAGTCGGGAAATTTTTTATCTATATTATTTATCTGTATTATTTCAATATCTTGCCTATTTCAGCTTGCAAATAAAGACGCTGCAGTTAGACTGAATGAAGAGAAAGTACGTAGTTTACAAGAACGTCTTGAACTAGCCGAAAAGCAATTGGCTCAAAGTTTGAAAAAAGCAGAATCATTACCAAGCGTAGAAGCAGAATTGCAGCAACGTATGGAAGCTCTTACTGCTGCAGAACAGGTACGTATTGACGTATATCCAGAAAAATGGTCAAAAGTATATTAATATCTATAGGTAATTTTAATGAAAAAGTATTTAGAAACTTCTTCATTTCGAAAGCAACATAGTATTCATATATCAGTTATATATCAAGATATAATGAGATCCAGGGTATTTCGGAGCGGAGCTCACAATTCTTTTACATTATATTTTCATAACTGTTGAATCGTTTTTATCAGAAGCAGCTGAGTGCTGAAGAGCAAATGAATCGGTTGGCCCGACAAGTTGAGGAGCGAAGCGCAGAACTGGAGCGTGCTGTGCAACGGGAGAAAATGAATGAAGAACATAACCAACGTTTATCATCCACCGTTGACAAACTGCTGAGTGAATCAAACGATAGGTGAAGGTTTCTTCGTAATCTTTTGATCTATGCATGAATTTGAGGAGAGAAATAAAAATTTTTTTTTGGTATGATTCTCTCTTTGCTAAACTTTTTAATTTCAGACTACGAAATTCCTAAGTTGTGAGCATCTACGTTGACTTTCTGATGTAAAATTTCTTCGCTTCGGAGTTCTTATCTACTTTTAATCTAGAACAAAAGATATTGGCGTGATTTCTAAGTATCTTGGGTAATAAAAGAGTATTGCAGGCTACAATTACACTTGAAGGAGCGTATGCAGGCCCTTGACGAAAAGAATCGCTTAACTCAACAATTGGAACAAACAAAGAAAATCTATGACCAAGTAGGTTCTTGGTAACCTTTGTGGGAACTTTTTATGCTCTTTGTACAGTTGTTTAACTCAACTTACCATTTCGTAAATTTCGAGTTTTTCCCAAGACTTCAGATTCGCTGCCCTTGTATAATAGAGATTATGGTGGCAAAGTCTGAAGTGGTAGCGATAAGATGAATAGTGCTTTTTGGAGTTCATTTGATTTGTTTGGGCCGTTTTTGAAGAATGGTTACTATCTCTTGATCTAGTTTTGTTTTCAGTGTGAGCGAACGAAAGAACGTCTGCAACGTGACAATGAAAGTTTGCGGCAAGAAATTGAAGCATTACGTAATCAACTTTATAACGCTCGTACTGCTCAGTACCATTTCAGGTAAGGAATGTTGGACTTATTGGATTCCAACTGCGTGTTGTTTCGATAATAAATTTATGAAATTTTTACGGGAATGAAAAACACGATTTCATGTATCATGTTTCAGTATATGAAATCATGTTTTTTATTCTAGTAAATTATGATACTTTCATGGCACCGAATCTTATCAACCGACAAAAAAATGAAAATTGGAAGTAACTGTAATCATGCAGTATGTTGCTGACTTACGCATTTGGACTAATTCTTTTTTTTTATTGTGCAACTTTGGAACAGAATGTATTACATTATCTACTTCCTATACATTCTTTTTTCAGAAACTACAAACTTGTACCGCATATTCAGTTCTGAATTTAAATATAATAGAATCGCATTCTGAAAATGCCGATGTTATATATAACATCGTCATCATTTCCAGTCTTTTAAATTTATTTCCTACTTTCATTTCTGAATCATCCGAGATTTGTTGTGACTCGTAGAAAAAGGTTAAAAAGTTATGCATCTCTTCCAATAACGCTTCTATTCTCTTTGAATTCACTTTTAGTGTCAAATGTCATAGTATTATATTAATCAGGATATTTTCTACAAGCAAATTGATTATCACTAGGAATTACAGGTTGCACAGTTCACCTATGATATTGCCTGTAGCAGCGTCACCTGTACCTGTACAATCTCCTTCAGGACCCGGAGGACCGCCACCGCCTCCTGTTGTGGTATCTTTATTTGTATATTTTCCAGTGAGGTCATCGTCATTTTAAAAGTCTTGAATCGTGTAATCCACAGTTTCCATTAATCAAGGTATAATGGAATTTTATGATTCCTTTCACTGTTTTACGGATTCATTTTTGTAGGCTGTCGGAACATCCACTGGTACTGCAGTTTACGGTGGAATACGCCGTGCACAGAAGGGCAGATTGCAAGCGTTACAAGAAGATCCAAGTAAAGTGCAAACATTGAATGAGCAAGAGTGGGATCGACTGCAACAAGCACATGTGCTTGCTAATGTGCAGCACGTAATAAGTTTGACTAAAATAACAGCTCTGTTATGAAGATTTCCATAATCTTTATGCAGCATCCTTGGGATCTTTTTCCTGAAATATCGGTATAGTGCAGGAAATAATTTTAAATCATTCTTGAAATTTTAATGAGATCTCGAAATTAGTTTTCAAATTTGATGAAACTTTTCGCCTAAATTAAACTTTTTAGCAACATTATTTGGATTAGATTGTTAAAAACTGAGAATCGAAATAAAATATGCAAAATTATTTTTTAGGCTTTTTCATCGTCATCATCAATGATGGATATGACTGGAGGCGGTGGTGGATCAACCGCTTGCGCACCGGTCCCAAATACTTCAACAATGCCCGGTGCTGCAGATCCACATGCTCTTGCTAATATGTTACAAGAAAGGTTTGTTGTTTTAAGTCATATTTCACATCTTCTGTATGGTTTTTGTAATTGTCTCTTATATGGTTATGATGAGAGTATGCGTATGAAAGTACCATATCAAAGTGATAAAAGTAATAATGTTCCAGATTGAATGCTATAAATTCAGAAATTCGATTAATAGAACAAGAAAAAACACATGCCGAACGTATTGCAGAACAGTTGGAAAGTCGTGCTACAGCAGTAGCTGCTGCAGCTGCTGCAGGTAATTTCCATTTGTTCTTGTCAAATTACGCAAATAAGTGGTGAAATCCATTATGATTAATTTTATATATTTATAGCAAATGAAGAGTCACAAGCATTATCAACTCATTCAACACCACGCAACTCACCTCAACATGATTTTTTGGTTACCAAATATAATACGGTGTGCTTTTCTTTACCTCTTACATGTTTGTTTACCTGTTTGCAGCGTGTACGCTGCATCTTTTTTTTCTTGATTTCATAGTTATTCTTAATTTAAGCGAGTTATATATTTTACGTATTCCTCCTTTTTACTTTACCTTTACTTGTTGTAGCTTCCCGCTAATGCATCAACGTCGCATATTCATGGGGGTGCTAGTGGTGGGTCGGTGGATTCTTCATATGGTCATCAGGTAAGCATGCATGTTTCCTGTGTTGTTTTTTTTAGTAGTGGGACTGTTTATTAAAGAGAGATTTGCAGTGAAATTTCTTATTGAGTTAACAATTATATTTTGCAAATGAGCTCTAGTTTCCGACAAATCTGCAGTTTGGTGCGGTGGATGAAATGTCAAATGGTGTGGCAACTTTTGATTATAGAATTCGTGGCAGGAGATATCCAGGTGCAACGGATCAAATGCAACATTCCTACACTGTATGCACCACCTATTTATTTTCAATAATTCTTCATTTATATAATTGGGCAAATTGAGGTTTAGCATTTTATCGCAGGCTAAATTTTGATTTCAAACCTAGGCAATTTTTTTGACTAGCCGTCTTATCATTTTGGCTTTACAGGGTTCTCTTCTCGATGATGAATGTAATCCCAGTATAGGCCCAGTTCCTCCAGGAATATTAATGGATCGGCTGTCGCCAACATCATCCATTACTTCTTCACAGCATGATCACTCACCCATTTATGGGACACCGGGCATCGCGAAAGGTATTTTATTTTGAAGTTTCTTGATCCTAGTGTTTTTAAGTGAGTACCAGGTAACATTTTCTCTTGTGATCCTATGAGAGAACTTGTTGACAACGTTAAGTGAACTAGTGGAAACTATAGGATCAAAGAAGCAACGTTCAACCTCTTCGACAGCAGCAAAAACTCTCGGACGATTATTTAATAAGAAAGTAAAAAGTAGCAGTTGTGGTAGTAACTTACGTCAATTGGCACAATATGAACAAGGTATTCATTTGTCAATTTCAAGTTTAATTCAGAAGAAACTGTCAAGCTTCTTGGATACAAAACGGATGTTGTAAGTTCTTAACTACACAACATCCATTTTCTCATTGGTTTATTGTATTTTATTTGCAGGTGGTTATTCAGACAGTGAAATATCATCAGTAGAAGGCATCGCTATCAATGCGGGTGCAGCCACATCATCTTCTCCGTTAACGGGTAACAATCTAAGTACTTTCTGATTTTCTGAAATCATTAATTACTTGGGCAGTATTTTTGAAATTTTTTCATTATATTTCAATAAGCTTATCATTTTTACGTTTCACTTTGCATTAGAATGTTTGCTTAATTAAAATGACTACAGGTAAATCAGCAAACGGTGGAGTTGTACTCGGTGCTGCTGCAGCTGCTGATTTTGATAGAAGGAAGAAGAAGAAGTATGAATTGCTGGAGGAGGTATTCGTTAGTTTACTATCATTATTATTAGTACAGTTACATGTTAGTTCACATTATAAATTTTCATGTTTGATATTCTACTTCAGGCAATGAAAGCACGTACTCCTTTTGCTCTGTGGAATGGGCCAACTGTAGTGGCATGGTTGGAATTATGGGTTGGTATGCCTGCTTGGTAAGTTATGTTTTATTAATCTCGCAAATTTATTTATTCTCACTTTTCAGTAATAATAAAAAGTAAGTTCTCTGGATTTTTGAGTATTTGCAGGTATGTAGCAGCATGTCGTGCGAATGTGAAAAGTGGTGCAATCATGAGTGCATTGTCGGATCAGGAAATACAGCGCGAAATAGGCATCTCAAATCCATTGCATAGGCTAAAGTTACGATTAGCTATACAGGTAATAAGAAAACTTATTTTGTGAATAAAATCAGTAGATTTTGACGTAGCGGTCGACATTGACGTGTGTAATGCGTTAATGCCTCACTTTGCAGCTTTCTTTTTTGCTTTAACTTTCATTCATCTTTTTAAGTGTTACAGGAAATGGTTTCATTGACGTCACCGTCAGCACCGCGTACAACACGTGCAACACTGGCATTTGGTGAAATGAATCACGAATGGATCGGTAATGAGTGGTTGCCCTCATTAGGTATAACTTATGCCCTATTCGATTATGAAATTGGTGTCCCTGAAGACTTGATCAAATCTCTGTTAAGGTTGTAAGAATTGAAATTCAGAATGCACTAGTAAATTGAAATAATCTTTGCTTCTTTCAGGTCTGGCACAATACCGGCCAGCATTTATGGAATGTTTGTTGGATGCTCGAATGCTGGAACATCTCTCCAAACGTGATCTTAGGACGCATCTCAAAATGCTTGATAGTTTTCACCGGTAGGTCTAATTCTTCTTTTCTACTTGCTAAAATTTCATGCCTTAATGTGAGCTAAACAGTTTACCTGTTCATGTTTTGTTGCAGTGCCAGTTTACAGTATGGTATAATTTGTTTGAAAAAACTGAATTATGATAAGAAAGCATTAACAGAAAGGCGAAAAGCTTGTGAGAATGTCAGTAGAGGTTAGTCATTTCAATTACCTTTGCTTCATGGTATTAAAATAATAATTTGAAGATGTAGGGTAACACTTTATGGTCAGTAAGTAGATACTGACGTAACTGCATATAGTATATCTATCATTTACGAGGATTAGCTGAAACTTTTTTCTGGCTACAGTTGTAATAATGTACCGTAATCATTTTATACTACATTAACAAAGGATTTAGTTGATTTGAATGAGGGACACAGCATTCGCAACTTAAAATTGAATTGAGATCAAAAATTTGAAAACAGATGGACGAAATTTCATAGTAAAATATTACAGATGTACTAGTATGGAGTAATGATCGTGTGGCACGTTGGGTTGAGGAAATTGGTCTTGGGGCGTATGCAACTCAACTTAAAGACAGTGGTGTACACGGTGCCCTTATTGCACTTGATCATACATTTGATGCACAAAGCCTGGCGTTATCCTTGCAGATACCACCGCAGGTCAGTGCGTACATTTCTATGGTTTCTTCTTGCTGCTTGCTACCGCTTTGCATGTCTTAAAGGGTCTCTCGCTCAGTCAAAATCAGTTGACATATTTATAGGATTTTTCGGCTCGCCAATTGTTGGAACATGCATTTGAACAATTGGTAATAGCTGGTGATTGTCGGAGTAGCACGACAACATTTGGTACTGGTGGTACAGATTGTCGTGGTTCTACTACAGCAGTAAGTGCCTCATCGGTACCCCCGCCATCACCACCCAGTTAACTGTGTTTTGCGTTTTAATTTGTCACTAATTAGGACTTGAAATCTATAGTAGCACCATATAAACTTGGGTGATCAGTCTTGAATTTGCCATATGCTTACCTATCGCTATATCCGAGGTTAGTACAAGCTAATTTACGTTCCGCTGTTCGCTCAAGATTTGGAAGCCTTATACTGAGCATAGAATGAAATTATTTTGCTCATTTTCTAACAGGATTTATTGACTAACCGGTGCATCTTTTTCCTTTTTTTTACAAGCTGTTTTTCTTTATTTGTAGAAGAATAGATTTTGGAACGATGTTTCATTTCTAATATTCTAAATCAAATATTTGGTCATTCCAATAGAGGAATAGGATGAAACGAAATTCGAATAAAAATTTAAGATTTTTAATAAGGAATTTATTACTTATTTTAAATAGAATGATATTTTGGCACACATCGAATTGTATTGCTATTCTGTATCTTATTACGCTCTCCTTACAAACTGTGAGATTTCATTTTTGACGTTGATTCATTTCGTTGTTTTATACAAGGTTATAAGGAAAATTAAAGGATGAAAGTTGTGGTTAACTTTTCTATCTCTTCCTCACTGCTCTGTAGGAACATTTTCATATTAAATATAACATAATGTCAATGTATAGTGACAGAATGTTGCTGCTGCCAAATAGATGGGGAAATTCTGAACATTTGTCTCCCTAGATACTTTATCCGTAGAATGCAATTAGGTCATTAGTATGGTTTCATTCTGTATATTAAACGATGGAGGCCTCCCCATCGTTTAATATTTCCTGTGAAGATTTTCTTATTAATAGTATTGTATTTCCGCTTAAAAAACTGTAAAACCTATTCTATTCCGTTGATTCTCTTGATCTTTTTCTGTTTTTGTATTGTTTGCTTCTTTTTTAAACGATTTTGTTACCATACCTATCCCTTGTTATTAAATTATATAAAGTCTATGACAGCTGCTGGATTTCGATTGCGAATAATAGGAAGTGCTGTTGGTTATGAAATGTTTAAGTCTAATATCGAGTTCAGAATTCGGCAGCTTCTAGATTATACGCTGTGTCCATCGCATTCATTGTATTACTAAGGTTAATTTATTGGCATGAACGACTACTAATTAATAATTGCGCTGTTTTGTTTTTTCCTTCTGTCTTTCTGTTCTCATTCCTCTGTCATATTTTTATCCATTGAACTGGCATTTATCTTACCGACCTCGATCCTGGATTTAGGAACTGAGTGGTAATAGGTTTTAAAACCTTCAGTTGAAAGAGGAGAGCTTTGTGAGTAATGTTTAACACAGGTCCAGACTGGAGCTTTGTGAGCAATATATCAATTATTTTTCATGGGTTACTGTTTTGCAACTCGCACTTATTGTTTGTAGCTTCCACTTCGGTCTCCTCTTTATTTTCTTTTGTTCTTGAAAGAACTACTGGCATTTAGAGAAATTATAACCAGTCAAGTTGCAAAGAGTTATCTTGACAGTCTGCTTGGGCAACTCATTTTTCCACAATGTAATTTGAGTGATTGACCCATGCTACATGCATATTCCTGGTCATTGATTATTTATTAACGCTGACTCACCTGTTGTATTAACTGTCGGACTGATTAAAAAGTTGTTTTGTCCATGAATCTTACGACTAGTGTTAAAGTTCCTACCGAAGCAGGACACACTGCGCATGCTTTCTACTGTGAGAACTAGGACGTAAATGGCGATATTTTCCTGACAGTAGATGCTTAGAGGAGTAGTATGCCAATTTTTCAACATTTTTTCCTTATGTAAGATGTGGCTGCGAAGAATTCTTCCTATATATATTTCTACCTAGAGTACTCCGCATGTAGCAGAATTTGCATATGCAGTTCTGTTCGACAGATTAACAGATGTGCAAATGCAATCTTGCGGAGAGTTGCTCTTCCCTCCATTGCCTAACATTATTCACCCATGGCGACGGGATAGTCCTCTCCTCTAGTTACAGACTATACTCGACACCAGTACTTAACCTCTGCTGCTCTAATATATGTAAAAGATTTCTAATGTAGAAATAGATCTGGCTTGATATTCCTGCGTAACCTTTTTGTTAAAGTGTCTCGTTTTTAATGGACTTTTCCCGTTGTTATTTAAATGAATCCTGGAAGCACGCATTATTAGTATATTTTATTCATACTTAAAACAATATCTCATGTGTACACTAATTTATATCTCTTGACAAGCAGCTGTGTTAAACGGGTCAGTCTGCCGTCACTGTGAGTTCCATTCGAGAGACTATAGTTGTGCAATCATGAGCTCATTAAATTGTTCCATACAATTCGCATGAACAAAACATGTATTAAAGTAAAACCAAGTGCAAAAGTAGGGATTTACAAATCAACATTAAAATAGTGTGCTAGGAGTGATTTGAAAGCATTGACTTTCTGTCTTGCATCTTAAATAAGTAGGCGCAAAGCAATGAAATTCAAACCTTGGGGAACTTCTCCTATAGCCTGAGATAGGTGTGGTCTATACCCTGCTAATCCATTATTTAAAAATAAAGACCCATTAGAAACTAAAAACACTCTCTAGCAGATATGTACAAAACGGTTTGCAGTAGAAAATCGGAGACTATTTACAACAATTGAGCCATAAGATTTAAAAGTTCGGTGGCGTGATCAATGCAAAAGAATCAGTAATCCAATGGACTCGTTTTATTTCCATTTCTCCATCTCTTCTCTACAAAAAGTTCAGATCTTGGAAGTCTTTAGAAATTCCTTACAAAAAAACAAGTTTTTCTTGATTGTTCTTAATACCACTGTTTATCTGGAAACTAACCTGTGACTGCCTGGTTTCATTTGATTCCTCACTCCACCAAGAATGTTGACCGTAGCTTTACTTACGGCAATTATAGGCCGTAAAACCGTAGTTGGAGCTTGTCGAAGAAAACCGCGTACGGTCGAATAACCGCTTGCCTGATCTTCCAGTGCAGCTAATTGGAAATCTAACGCCGTATCACTTATTTCCTAGAATTATTCGTGACGTTAATTACCCGAAATATCTTTAAACCATTTTTATAGTTTATTTCCTTACCCGCCCAATAGCTTCCAAAGCCATATTAAAGCCTTCTCTGATATCATTTGGTGGTCGAAGTACAGTGTAATCCATCATATTCCTTCGATGTCGATATATGGGATATTCGGGTGAAACAATATCAAACGCCAATTCCGCAACGCTCTGCAACATTTCTCCGTATTCAGTATAAGTTACGTTTTTTTGAAAAACGAACGGAAAGTAAATCTCCACCTGTACAACTCCCACCATTCTTTGCAACATATCTACCGCAGCCGTTGCGGTAGATATCCCAAAACTTTCTGCCCCTCGTTGTAACCCTTTTACGATATGACCTTCTTCTCTGCAATACTCGTTTACTGGCATCAAAAACAGATCTCGAATTCCAAAGCCTGAAAATGATGAGACCTTTAACTAAGGCGTTTAATAATTTTACAGCACTGCAAAAGGATTAAAACAAATAAGAATTGAGGAACAAGGTACCATCGCACTCCAAGATTTGGTAAATCACAGTTTTAATTTTCTCATTTTTGCATGAAAAAATAAAACGTTTGGCATAGTATTAAAAATTCGCTCACCAATTTCTACCAGTGACTTGATAGGTCCATAAGACGTAATGAACTGCACTAATTGTTTGTTGTTAATATCGTTAAGCCAGGCACTAATAGCAAACTAAAATTTTCAAAAAGTACAGACAGCACACAAAGACCAGTTAAACAAGCGACCTTTAAGGATAATTTTTAATTTAAAAGCATTGAAATGTCTCAATTATGCACTAAAGCATCGATATGACTTACTTTGATACAACGATCATAGCCAAGCAGCCCTCGAGTACAGTTGAGTTCCTTCAAACGTATTTCAGTGCATTTGAAATCGCTCAGTCCTACTAAAAGCCCCAAAATCCAACCCTGATCTGGACGAATCCGCTTCCCATTTAAATCCAAACGAATCGTCGCAGATGGCGAAAAGATAAATTCCCTATAATTATGAGATATAGTACGTTATTAAAAGATGACGTAAAAATAGAAAACCAATGATCTGTTAAACCGCTTAGAAATATTTTACATAGTGGTTATTACTTGAAGTAGATTTTCCCTTTTACAATCGATTCCGATTCACAGGAATCGATCTCCAAAGTACTTTTGACGCGCTGATAATCTGTCTGAAACAAAATAAATGATTTCAGAGGGATAACCGTTCCTTTATTCAATTTCATCACACAGAAGAAAACCGTAATTGTACAAAAAAGATAAATTGCATGAAGTGTTGATATCTCTAAAAGTAGGAAAATAGAATGTTACAGTTATGCGAGCTCTAAAAAAATTATAATTTTTCCACGACTGAATGAGAGCTCTCGTTCCTGCTAAAAAAAGCATGTAAGTCATACATTACAATAAAAAATTTTTATGCTAACAACAAATACCAGTACAGAAACAGATTTTTCGTCATCGTTTTCTTCTTTCGTTACACCAAGTTTTGATTTTGCACTGTCTGCCTCCTCACACGCAGTAGGCAAAACAGCATGAATGTTGCTAACAGAATTTTCTGTATTGAAGCAATGAATCATAGCGCTAGATGACGACAGAAGAGGGGAACTCGTATCCATTAAATTTGTGATATCGTCAGTTATGGGTCCTAAAAGTCCAGTAGAGTAGAATTTTGGAAAAATAACACAACACTGAATAAAAATCCACTAAATTCAAATTACCGCTTTCATCAAACAAATTGCTTGCCGAATCTGGCCGTTCAGCGACCATTAAATTATCACTATTATCTTCATCCAGATAAAAACCATCACCTGAAACTATGTTTTAAAACTTCATTCAATTACATCTGGATCACTCATATAATTCGAAGTACTAATTTGGACTAGTCCAATTAATATAAGATACTGACGAATATGCAAATTAAGTAGATCATATGTTAGTAGTGAGTCCCGTTGTTGTTCATCGTTGCAAGTCTCCAGCTTGCGTCCAATAAATTCATTCAAAAATGAATCATTATGCATAGTCAGATCCATACAGCTTGTTACTGAGTCTGAATATGTATTTCCAGCGTACTGTGTAGTATCGGTATTTTCACTCATATGCACTTCTAACCATGGTTTTTCTGGCATTTTCGATGTTGTAGTATTTTCTAAATTTAAAAAATTATTCCGAATGATTTTTACAAACAGTTACTTCAAAACCCACATAATTTATCAATATTCAGGAAAAACCAAACCTGCTTGTAAGACAGCAACACTACCAGACAGATCATTTATATAATCTTCGAGAAATTCCAGAGTATCTTGGTCAGCGTTGATACGCAAAGGCAACAAGGAAACCTTCATTTTACCCTCATGTTGAGGAGTTTCATATAAACGAACAGAAAACATCGGCGAGTGAGAATGACGCGGGAACGTTCGATCCCACACATGCTAGAAATAAATAAATGAAGGCAATTATGCAGTAAAACTAATGTAGTTTAAGGAAAACCAAAAACTCAAAATGTTGCATGAGCTCTCGCATGTTTCATAGCAGTCCTCTCTGAAAAACGGTTGTCTTTACATCTTACCGGGTAAAGTAGCTTATTAATTTTTGAAGACATCATTTTGTCCAAAATTTCGATTGAGCCAATACTGAAGAGTCTTGTAGATAAAGCGGGTGCATCTTTATCGTACAATTCGAACATGAATTTAACCTAATATTGTATGAATTGTAATCATTGTTGTAATCACTCGAAAGACAGAATTCTACAGGTAAACAATAAGATCAATCAATAAAATTTGCGTAAGATTAAAATAAATAACGACGCGTTGATTTATAAAAAATCATTTACGGTAACAACACAAGCCGACCAGTAAAACTTGCTTTAGAAAAACGCAAATCTACATGAGCAGAATAATCTCTGTAATGACCACCAATGGGAGAGTTGTCACGACGCAACTTTCCTCCATTTGATATACAGTACGGTTTGGAAGGTGGTTTTGAAGTACCTGAAATGTGCAGAAAGCAATAGCTGCGCAACTAGTGGAATCCACACGACTCTGAACAGTTTACGAAGTGTTAAATTATTTCTATCACTAAAAACTTACTGAAATCAGCACCACCGTACAAATGAAGTTCCAGCGATACATCATCAACAACATATTTGATAAACGGAGTGTGAATTTTGTTCGTGGTGAAAAGAACTGATCTATTTGATCTACCATCGATTTTTGTCAAATAATCATCGTATATAACAGGAGCTGCGTCGTCAGTGAGCAGAAACCGTGCCCATGGTTTACCATTACCAGTCTAAAATATTATATGAATAAAGAGAAGAAATACTAATCCAATTCTGAAAATAAATTTAAAAAGCATTTACTACATTTCAAAAATTTGAAAAATCAAAAAAAGTATACCGTGATCCCACTACCCGGGATTTCGTCAAGTAGACAAAAGCCCTCATCAATTCCGAGGGCTCCAGATGAATCTCTAACCCTGTTTTCTTCTGTCGTATCAATTAAATCTGTAGTATATCAATTACTCATTAAAAATTAATTTGACACGAAGTATATTAATTATATTAATTTTACTTAAATATATATTAATTCTGCTTAAAAAAATTTAAATTTATTATTAGACAAAACTTACCTATCATCGCATTCGACAGCACTTGGGAAGTGTCAGACAAACTCTCAGGTGAACCCGTCTCATATTCAAAATTTTCATGTCTAGACTGCGATACCGCTGATCGCACCATTTTCTAAATTTCAAAACTCCGTAAATAATTTTGATGAAAATAATGGTCATCTAAAAGAGGGTGAGTGAAGAACAATGTCTCCACCAACTCTCAAATCCTACAATTACGGAATTTAAACATTAATATTCTGGTTTTTTTGTCTTCAACTGCTGCAAAATCTAGCGAATTACACAAATACAGAAGCAGTGAATCCTTTCCCTTTTAGTTTCACATCTTTGATATCTTCCTTTTTCTTACCTTACTGCTTGTTTTCGCTTATCTATTAAAAAAACATCACTGTTTCTTTTATCTCAAATTCATACTCTGAAAAGTTCAAAACTTTCGTTCAAAGGCTTAACCATAATAACATCGTCCCAACTCTAATTTACTCATCGTAGCAAAGAGGATGAAACTTGAATAACTGGAAGCCAGATTTTGCTCTGGCAGCTTCAAGTGAGCTTTGTATGAAAATCATATTGATGTCACTTGCAAATACAATTTAGGCAAGAAGCGTTAGCAACACTAAAACAAAGTCTCCAATGAATGTCGTAATTAAGGTAGATTATCAACATATAATCATCTGAACAACTGGCGGGAATTTGCTCAGTGATACTTACGAAGATTACATGCCTAAAAACGGAGGTAAGGAATAGAAACTAATGATAGCCAATAATAAATATGTCTGGTAAGCCCTATGTGTGACTGCATCTTAAAAATATGACGCGCATCGCAGTGGAAGTCTTCAGTACTCTTTTGAAAAGTTAAAAAAAATAAAATCACTGGTGCGGTAAACACACGAAACAGGCACTAAGCTACTTTAATTACAAAATTGACAGGCTTGATAAATGGAGTAAAACCAAAGTAGCAGTGAAGAGCTGAGAATGGAAAACGAGAAATGAAGCCTAATGTTTCCTTAAATGAAGCCTAATGAAGTTTTTGTTTTAAGTTTTCGAAAAAAATGAACGGTAGGAAATTTCACGTCATAGAAGGTAATTATCAACCGGAGGATGACAACAGACAGCTTGTTCTTCACAAGTTACTTTTTCACTACGGTTAGAGATATTCATTTATTTAGAATGCCATGGAATGAATATATGTTGCAGAACGTCCTAATAACACTTACTTCAATATTGGCTATTTGTTGTTCTGTGGATGTCTGCCTTCTTGAATTCCCAATTGTCGATTTATCAATCGGTGTTTGAGATCCAGATTTGGGTGCAGCCACTTTGGAAGTCTGCGCATCTAGCAGCTCAGCAACCACATTAATGACTAAACACAGAGAATCCGAACAAGCCCACAACTGCAACTTTTATAACTATTTTATTAATGACGATAACCAATATATAGAAGATGAACAACTCCAAAGAGTTAAGACTTTTAAAAGAACTGTTCGATTTAAAAACTTGGAATTACCTTCAACAAATCATTTTTGCATCTAACTTCCAGAAATGGAAGATATTTCTTTGACCTACCACCAGCAGTATCGGAACTTTTAGCTGCCATTACCTGAAAGTTATACAAGCTTAAACACGAATAAAATTTCCCAAATGATAACATATTTTGTTGGAGCAAAAAACAAAAACAGCAACAGTCACTGTAACTATATACCATGTAAAAAACACATGGATTACTGGAAGTTCATGATATTAGTTAATGAACTGATTTAATCAACCGTAATTGAATCTTTCGTCGATGGATATGAAAAAAGTATGATATATAGATTTTCCAACAATAAATGATGAAAGGACTTCCAACGTTTTTTGATAACTTATACCAACTTATAAGTTAGATAATTTAGTGCAAAACATACCTCCAGTTGCAACATACCCACAGACAACATATGTATGAATTTATGTTCAAATTTTGTAAACTTTCTGGTTTCATTTTGACTTCCAATGATTTGAGCATCAGGACTGAATGATGCGAAGAGCTTAAGCTGCTCAAATATGCATTCAAATTTGTATATTTCTAGATCTTGCATGATTCGACTACTGACATCACAAGAACCAAGCATCACTCTGAAAAGTCCGGGATTCCATGAAGTAAAAACAAGCTAAACTTCGAGTCGTTGTATGCAATATCAACTGATTTATCTGATTCCCTAAAAATACGTGTATACGGGTATGTTTTTAAAGAATTAACAAGTCAACTGCTATATACATATATTGGATTACAGCTAACCGTAATGATAAAGGAGGTGATGGATTCTCAAAATAATGTTCGTAAGCCAACATAGAAGATGAGAAATGAATATGTAGTTCTGTCGTTATTTGTGGGACTTCATAGCCAGGAATACCATAATCGACGATATCGAAGAAACAAATCAACTGATTGATCCAAAATTGCTCAGCATTTGTGTATGGTTTCAAATGTAACATCGTGTTACGAATACCGATTCCAACCAGCAAATTCTAGAGTGTTTTCGGTTGATTAGTCTGACATCAAAAAACACTAATAAGTTAACAATAAAAAACATAGTTAAAAAGGATGAGAAATAAATAACATAGCTATTCCTGAAAGAAAAAAACTACCAAAACCAAAGAGCAAACAACGTGTTGAACTTTCTGATTCATATGAGGAAGAATTGATGAGTCACGTCATGAATGATCTTTGCCCAGATCAATCATGGAAAAATCTATAAATGGTTAAAACAACTTCGGTGATGTATACATTTAAGAAATAATAAATAAAAACCTTAAGATTTTCGGGAAAGTGAAAATCAATTCTAACTGCAATGGCGAAATTATCCTCCTCCTTCTCTACAAAACAAATTTCTTCATCTACTACCGGTTCTACTTGGATTCCTTCTTTGAAATGTTGGGCGAAATCCTTCTTCAAAACACACCGTTCATATGGGACTACGTCTCCAATAAGATCTGAAGATATTACTTGCACTAAGTGCGCTTATATATTAAAGACCATTGAAACTCTAGCAAAAAATTTCGTGGCCGAAGACCGTATTACTTACACTTACTTTTATGAAAAAAACTGGCAACTTTCGAAGTCGAATAAAAATAAGATAGCTCTTTATTGCCATGAAAACCATTAACTGTCATTATTTGCGTTTTATGTAGAATTGCACCAACTTGACCTATTTTCTTCATAATTCCATTCTGAAAGTCAGAAAAATAAAAAAAGAAAGTCAAACTAGGACAAATGAATTACAAAACGAATCATCGAAAGACTACAAAAACAAACTTCAAATTCAGTTCCCATGAGTACCCGGCCATCATTTATATTTGCCAGCAAGCAAAAATCATGAGATTTTTCGTTGCCTAATACATTTACTGTTGGAGTCGAACCATGAGAGCAGGAAATATTACAATCACTGTGCGTAGAATCTAAATTAAAAATTCTGAAATCTAAACATGAACCAAAACTTGAAGTATTATTCGGTCCATCCAGAAAACAAATTCAATGTTAATGGAATTCTCTTTACCCAAGCAAGCAAGAAGGAAGTTATAGAAAGGTTACAAAAAATTTTTCGAGAAAAATTACTTTTCCTTTTTGAAGATCTACAAAGTTCGAAGAGTCCATCATCCAACGCTTCCATGTCTTTCTGCCGATCAGAACTATTGAAGATAGGGGAAGATGGCTGCCACATTGACAAATCATTTACCAACCTTCATGTGTCAGAATTTATGCAACAATTTAGAAAGTATTTCAAAAAATTTTAGAACGACTACAAAAGAAGAAAAAATTTCCCATGTCTAAAAAAACATTTCAGCATGAGTGCGACAAACTCAATATTAAACGAAAACAATCATAGGGTTGACACAACTAATTTTACTCCGATTCATCTTAAACTTTCTTGAAAATGATCACTTTGACACAATTAATACCCATCAAAACTAGTGGAACTTCAGTAGGTCTTCTTAGCTTACAGAGACAGAACAACATCTTGTACGCTCCATATCTGCCGAACAGTGAACTGTTCAAAATAGATATTACAAATGAAAGACTTACCTATTATAAATAACTTCGTAATAGTGACGACTAGGTAAGTGAACTCGTAGTACCGGAACAGTTAACTCACAATTTATTCGTGCATTCGATAGACAATTTTCACCAAATTCTAACATCTCCTTTGTGCTTCCAACCACAATTATCTAAATATTATGAAATCAATATTTCGCTATTACTACAGTGAAAAAAAGTGGCGATGTTGAGTAACTACCAACCATTCGGTTCTCATTGCGTATAATACATTTTGAGAATGGTCCCTCCATTTTTACATCTGCTTCGTTTTCAGCATCATATTGTGAGGCACATGAGTAACCTGTTTCATTACAGCGCGTAGAAGTCGACTCCAAACTACTATTTCTATTATCGTAGCTAAGCTTCATGCTAGAAATTAATCTCATGACGATAAATATAATACTTTATATAAAAAATGGTAAAGTTATCAATTGTGGAGGACCACTTTTACGAAAAAATATCCTTTCAACATACCTGACACAACCTCCACCACATGTTTCTGAACAGCCAGCAAAAAGAATGAGAGAGTCAAGATTCGCTGAGCCAGTTTTTTCAATCAGATTCAAGGACCCTAAAATTTGCTATTGAAAAGAATAATCCAACAATAAACGTCATTCATTGCTAACATTAAGAGAAAAACTACATACTTTTATATCCCCTTTATTAATTTGCGTCAACTTATAAAAGGTCTTGAGATACAAAAATTGTTGATAAAATCTTTTCCAAATAATCGCAATGCCAACAAACTCTAAAATAGCCTTCTATCCCTGAAAAGCCACAAATTATTCATATGAAAAAGGAAAAATACCGTTTATAGCAGAAGCCGAAATAATAACTGTTCCATACTGCCTTAAGCGCGATACATCAAATTTTGACATCTCTAGTCTAACATCCATTAAAGTCAACCTTACTGACTCCTTGTGCAAATTTCTTTTCCAGTGAGGTGCTCGAGTTGGAGAAGATTCAGAACGTCGTAAATCCACCACTGGTATCCTACGAAGCAAACGCACTATCATTAACAATAAGCCAAAATTTAGAAAAAATGATAAATTTTGTGGTATTTTTTAAAGTGTTACTACAAAAATTAAATAAGACCAAACCTCAAATTTAAGTTCCATTCTGGACAATTAATAATAAGTGCTAGTGATAATGGCGTGTTATTTGCGTCTTGCATAGCGGTAAAGAGCAAGTCTGTCCTGAAAAATCATCAACCATGGTAAGACTGAAAAGTAATATTTGCCGAAAAATCCAACACACAACACTAGCAAGCAAAATTTACTTCAAGCCTCGTGACATGTCATTAACATTGTGAATTGAAGAAAATGGATAAGTATGAAAAGGTTTCGTAATCAAAAGGGAAGATATCCGATCAATTATCGAAATGTCCAATTCACTTTCACAAGTTGCCAAGTTTACAGTCACATCATAATGCTGAAATTGTTGTATGATAAACGACAATTTGGATCTCCAGATTTCCAGAGAAAACATATCTGCATTTTATGGATGGTTTCGAACAAAATTATTTAACTAAATATTGAGAAATCAATATCCCTTTATAATGCAGACCTGCGGATTTTTGCCATTTTCTACAGTAACCATTAGTCGACGGCTTTTTTCAGTTGTTGATGCATTATCACAAAATGAAAACAGCTTGATATTTTCTTCGGCGTCCTTGAAAATGAAATTTTTAAAGAAATTTACTGTATCTGCAAATACTATTCGAACAAAATTATGGAAAAAATCATACCATGCTGGATGATGCTGGCGACAGAACTTCTAATAATTGAACATCAAGAGCTTCTAAGCTCATTGAAAAAGAGTAGTTTTCCCGACCTTTTACTTGATTGTAATCAAATGTGACTCCTTCACCAATGAACCTAAAGAGGCATGAAATTGAAACAAAAATAAAAAAACCATATAACTGAATATAACAGAATTAAAAGGAAATTACTGTAGATGATCGTCTCCATACAGTTGTTTCGTACTCCGATTTAATTCATTCAATTGAACTCCAAACCGCAAAGAAGATGCCGCCTTAAAGAACCCTTCTGCTAATTCCTTATATGAACAGATCATATCAGCGATGTTTTCGGGGCCCCTAAAATCAATTTTGCTAAAATCAACTAATTACAAGCGTTTACTACAACAGAATTTCTCACGATGTAAAATCAATCAGAACTTGAAAATTACAACAAACCTGTTTCGAACTTCATCCTGTCCAAGATAGTCTTTATGGGTCAGGACAACAACAACATTACAAATGCTTGCTTTAACACTGATCACGTCAGATACAGTATCCGAATTTTTTAGAGTTCCTGTAATATAAAATATTATGCTACTTTTTTTGAAATTAATACTAGTTCGCAAACGTATTTCATCAAGCATCCTTTGTTAGTCTTCTACGGCATCTGCGAGATAAAGACCAACTTTGAGAACAGTCGCTTCTTAAAATTTCCTTTGAAAATCTGCTACTTCGACCATCTCCTACATCACTGAGATTCAAGGAAACATTAGCCATTTGCTCTTCAATCGATGCTATTGAAGGTTTCCTCTGTGCATCATAAAACATCATTGAACCACCCCAGTTGCCTGAACATCAAGATTTCTTAGTTCTATCAAAATAAATTTCTATACCAAATCCTTCTGTTAAACCATAAAAAAATGCATGCAGAATAGACCGCAGCTATTGCTTTTAAAATCAAAGAGGAAACCGAATCAAAAGTTAGTGCTTAAAAAGGATTACTAATAGTAACGTTTACCATGTTGAAAATCGGTACCGATTTGGTTCGATGGTACAATTCTTGTTTGTAATTCGGCTTCAACCTGCTGATAATCTTGCATACACATTGGTTTCCCCAAACTGCACTGTGCACCATCTGAAACGAGATCCAACAGGCTTTCAAAGATGCAAAGTCATCAAACAAATGGAAGCAGAAGGCTGTTACAAATTGTTTAAACAAACCAGAGTTTGGAGGAGGCTTTGCAATTGCAGAAAAGAATGTTTTCAAAATGTTCAGTTGTGAAGGTGTCAAAAACACACACAAACCATCAAAGTTAAGGCTAATTTCCTGGAAAAAAATAAAAATAAGTTAATACTACCAAAACAAAAATGAATTCAAAATTAAGTTTAAAATATCAACAAGAAAGCAAGAAATTCAACCTTCTCAGAAGAAAAAGCATATTGCGATGAGATCTCGTTGTTACGTACTCGAACAATAACAGTTTCAACGCTACCACTGAACGATGCAAACAGAACTGGATTTGACTCTAACCTGCAACTTCAATTTTTTTTCTTATATTCAAAATGAAAGAATTAAAACAGGAGGAAAGTGCAAAACATACGTAGTGTTACTGGAAGAACTTAATGGAGAAGAAGTGACTGAAGGAAATTCATCCTCCATACAACTGTTACGTGAATAACATGATTCATAAATCGTTGAAGCTGTCGACATCTGTACGGAACATAACACACCGCCGTTTTTTTCACAGTGTTCATCTGATGAATCCGAAGAAGCCGACAGTTTCTGGAACCAAAAGTAATTTGTAAACTTTGGGGATTAAAACGATTGTCACCGAAAACTAAACTTCGTTTAGCAGGATATTCATAATAATCTTCAAATGAAGCTGCCAAAAGCAAAATCATTAAGTAAGGTGTGGATCTACCAACCTTCATTGTTTTCTCTTTTTCACGCCGTAAATACATACTTGTTATGACCTGTGTTAACGCGGACATATTTTCTTCTGGTACATCTCTCATCCCTGGTCTAAATGAAAGAATGATACCGATTTGCAATAATATCACCCATAGCATGCGTAAATGGATTCCTCAATCATCTTACATATTTTTGCACCAAAACACCACATTCATATATAACTTACTTAGTGAAAATATCGGTGTACAGACGTATGCCTTTTACATGGAAAAGTTTATTGAAATCTGGAACAGCCGATAACGAACGTGGTTGTGAAGTTACCGTTTCAGCATTGAAAGCTTCCGACTCTAACTGTTCGTCGATGAGTTCAATCCTACATAAAATATCGAGATAAAAACTCTTTAAATGAGAAAATCTTGTGCAAAATTCATATTCATTAAATGAGTGTACTGCTAGATGATACCATACCAATCAATTCGCAGTTCCAAGGCAGTGTATAACTCAGATTCTGGATCAGGAATACCTTCTAAGCGAATAATAGCGTCGTTAAAAATTAATCGAAAGCGCGAAATAACGGCATCAATGACCTAAATTTCATACATCTGATAGAAACAAAGTAAAGAACTGAATCTATAAGGCTGACATGAAGGAAGTTCATACCTCAGCAAACTGTTCAATGCCTTTGTCCTCTGCTTCATTGGTAGTTTCCTCCTGCTTCAGAAAACTCTGCGCCAATTCCATAGATGTTGCTAATGACCCCATAACACTTCCAAACATAGAAGCCACTGAAGACATGTAACTAATTATCCCACAGTTTAGTAAAACATAAATAACACACCTTTACGGAAGATGGAAAAAATTAAAGATGTGATTTTTCACCTATATCTCCTGGTGGATCATCTGCGCAATGTTGAAGCTGAAGTGTAAGCTGCAATTGTTTCACTTCCAAATCAACAGATTTTACAAGGATATACTGCCATGGAACTGTAATACTGACTTCGCCAATGTAACCCTCAACCACCGTAAACGGTATTTTCATTGATTCAAACACTTCGTTTAGCCTCTAAAGAAACAAAATTTCCAGTTAATTTATTTTTTCATTTAAACATCAATTAGATAACTTCGCAACACATCCACATTTGGAAAAAATTGAAACCATCTTTTTATTAAAAATCCACGTTCCACAACAATTTTCCCCGTAATTTGCCCGTTGCATTCTTCTTCGGCAATTAGCAACATTACTCCAAATTTTGAAAATTGATACCTGTACATCCATGTCAACATCGCTAACAGATGCAATACCACCATAAAGAGTGGCTGATAATTGTTCCAAATTGATGCTAGACTTCAGAAAATCGCTTAAATATCTATGTATAAGAAAGCGACACAAACGCTTTTGTAAAGCGTCCGTGATGTTCGATAAGCCCCAAACAACCATGTTGTTGCATCCTACAAAACAAAGCCAGGCACTGTTGAGATTAACATTCAATTTCAAATTATAGAAGCATTATAATTTCGACCAAAAAATATGGAAAATTAAAATCAGTACTTGAAATATTCGGAAGAACATCACTATGAAAAATCTACAACTGCCGACGAAGTCCGCGCATTACCTACAAAATCGTAGAACAAAAATGGATCGAAACACTTACCAATTTGTAATAAGCTTGTTGAATTAATTCAACAAATAAATGTGAATATTTCTTATCAGCCCCAATATTTCAGCAGCTGATTAATCTCCGTTTCTGCTCTCAATTTAATATACACTGCAAAATAGATTATTACGCATAAAAAAATATATATGTACATATAATGAAGGAAATGTCATGAAACAAACATAACATACCCATCAGAAATGTTCCATTACTCCACTTTTAATTTCTTATAGCACGATAAACTTTCTTACGATTTCCGAACTAAAAGAGATCTCAAATGATGGATGGTTTGTGTACAAATTCGCGTTCTACGTGACTACAACTGCGTTATATTCTGCATTACATATATTTCCTTAAAAGAAAGAGCTTCCAGCAAAAAACCGCATGGTATACAGGTTTCGACTCATCTTATTTCATTCTCTCCTTCTTCCACAAAACCGATCCCATTTTTTTCCTTTCTAAACACATAAATAGACTAGTTTTTTGAAGTTAATATCAAAACATCCTTATCGTACATTATCCATTAATATATTATTCTTATCCACGTGACCTGAAATTCTACCGGAAAGTGCTGAAGTAACTTTTGAATAGGAGAATTTGGGAACATTCCAAATTATGCACATATCAGAATTTTGACTAGTTTTTAAATCTTGTATTTTATTTCCCGGCGGAAATTAAATTAATATTGAAGATTTAACGTTTCCAACGAAAACAATAAGTTCAATGTTTAACTGCCCCGGATTGCAACGTCAATCGATAAAACTCCCTGCCACACTCCTTCCAACCACCGTATTTCAGTTCATCATATGATCATTGCACTAATATGTGTTTTGCGGTTGGCCGTGTCTGCTCAAGTGGACTAGGTGGACAGGGGGAAGGGGGATGTGAAGTTTTTCACGAAAAGGGAAAGGAAGTTACTTGAAGTGCAAGAATTAAATAAATTATAACTGATACCACGAACTAAAGAGTCTTACTTAGAATCCTTGTATTTTTTCACATTCTTCTAAAAATAATGCTCGAAGTGAAGGAAACATTCATTGTAGGCATCTCACGATCCTCTCCGCACTCATGCAAAGCTGGAAGAACAATTGTTTAAGTATAATTATGAGATCAAAGATAATTTGGGGATGCGAGATGTATAAGATATTGTTGTTTAAATAGAATTCACTTCATGTATAACATTGTTGCTTACTGCGTTGTTAATAATATGTTCTATAAAAGTTGTTCATTTAGGCATGGTGGGCTGCAAATGATGAATATCTTAAAAAATAGTGTGGTTGATAACCACCTCGATAGTGCAGGAACGAGTTATAAAACTCCTTTAAGTGGCAAGCTTTCTGTTCAGCGATCAGCCATATTTGCACTGTTAGCTGAGGTAAAAAATACAAATACTGATATTCACTGTAAGAGTAACATAAGTGTTTATCATAGTAAAATTCTCTTTTTCCCTGGTTTTGAGGGAGAACTGGCTCATCCGAAATTTCATGAAGTGTATCAAGAAACTTAAAGTGTTACTTATCGTAAATTGTTTGCTTGTCGGTGCTTTGTTTCAAGTCAAGTAGCGCCTTTACCAGAATATAGAAATTTATTTTAGTTAGCCGATGATAACAGGGAATTTTTCAAAAATACCACAAGTTGGACAACGTATGCAAACCGATTAGAAAAAAATTGCCACACAATTTCATCTCTCGCCCTACCTTTGGAAGGTATTTTTTTTTAAATGCATAATGTATACATTTTTATATATGCTTTATTAATCGTTTTATCTGAAGTTTTATAATTTGTAGACGTTGTGAAAAAGCTGCAGGACATGGCTCCTCGATATGACTACGACAAGCTTACGCCAGGAAATGGATTTCGGTTTGTTTCTCCATTATGAGACATTTTGCAGTTTTTTTTTGCGCATGTGTTTTTCCTCAATTTCTATGAAAATAAACCGATGAACTTTATAGGTCTCTAGTTTGTGTATGTGACACGATTGTACTACACCTTATCTCCGTTTTGCGTTCCTGTATTGAACATCGACAGACTATGATATTTCGCGCATCATATTACTGTAAAGAGGTTGAAAGCTACTGTGCTGTCCTGAATTTTCTCGTTTCAGCTTTGCGAATGGTTTGTTTTCTTTTTTAAATTAATATACATATCGCTGTATCATTAGTAGTCTGTTAACTTATTAGTGATTTTAATGTTGATGGAATTCGCCTTTGATATATTCATTTAGATTTTTCAAACCTTACCTAAGGCATTCTATCTGCAGGTCATTGATGCAGCTGTATACGCTCCCGATAACTGTTTATTTCCTGATCTTAATGGAGACTATGCCAAGTATCAGGCAATGCTAGGTGGTATAGAAGTGCTTGATCCATCGTGCTTTTATGGAAGATCACTAGGCTTCCAGGTCAGTGTTTGCAATTATTTATTTACTAGGAGAGTTTATGAAAAAATGAGTATGGTCCCACGTTGTAAAGAGTTCGAAGTCGAAGTTCTACATATTTCGTAAGTATTCGATCCTTATCATAAAGTTTCTTTTTACAGTTTCCGCCGTCAATCGGGCGTATATTTCGCTTGATTGGTGTAATACTTGCTATCTACAGTTTGTCATGGGAAAAAGGAGGCAGTACTTTGGGATCTTTTCTGAATTCACCTCGGTTCATTTTAAGTCCAGAACAAAGAGCTAAGCGAATTGTTAAGGTTTTACTATTAAATTCATAGTTATTTGTTCTGTCGTTTTACTTTTGCGTTTTTCAAGTTTTTTGTTTGTTCAGTACGTGATCGGAGATTTCTTTCAGGTAACTCGTGAAGCCGACATTGAATTTTGTAGAGGTTTCTGGAATTTGTCAGAATTTGGTAGTGTAAGTTCTCCATTCTATTTCATGGAAGAAAATAGTTTTCTCTATTTTTTTCTGATAATCGTTTTGCATTTTCTCTCCATTTTGAGTGGGATTATTTGTAGCAGGTTCCTCGTATATTTTGTCCAAATATGGCAATAAACGAGTTGCGTGAAATCGGTTGGGTGGGGTCAATAACAATGGCGACCACGAATGGTAGTACTGTGAAAATTCCAGAACCTTCTTCTTACACTGGTCGTCGACCAGTCAAAATTCGTGTTTTATCTTATTGTCATCGGCAAGATCTTGTAAGTTTTTGAAAAGTCTTTCTAATTTTTAGGATTGACATTTTTAAAAAAATCAAACTATATCTGCTGACTTGCACAGTTTCATTTCAGAGTCCTGCTGGGTCGCAGAATCAACTTCTACCATCGCCGTATTTATTACTTCATTGTCACGGGGGTGGTTATGTAGCAACTACCTCCAAATCTCATGAAGTAATGAATTTCCTAATGTAGATATTCTAAAATGCTTTTGTATTGAATTAATTTTTGCATATATCATTTCCAGACTTATTTGCGAGTTTGGGCTAAATTACTCAATTGTTCTATCGTGTCTGTCGAATATTCACTGGCACCAGAAAATCCATTTCCTCGTCCCACAGAAGAAGTATTGTATGCATATGCATATATTATCAATAATGCAACACAACTCGGTTTGTATTTACTGCTTACAAATTTTCGCAGTTTATTCTTTAACTTGACATCAGAGTTGTTTTGTAGGTTGGACTGGTGAGAAAATATGTATGATCGGCGACTCAGCAGGTGGTAATTTGATAATGTCGGTCAGCTTGAAGCTTGTTCAACTTGATGTGAAGAGAATACCGGATGGAATCATTACCATTTATTCACCATTTCTTTTCCAGGTTACATATTGAAATCAATATCTTAAGCTTTGACAGTGGGTTTTTACATATTCGTGTTTTACAAAGTTAGTCTTCGACATTTCCTGAAACTAGAAGAAATGATGGAACGTATCAAATTTAAATAAGAGTCAATCTCAAGTCGGTAACGTCCTCTGCTTCTATACAGATCTCTAAATATAATCTGGAGATCCCAGGAGATTTACAAAACAGCTCTTTTGTTGTCCATAATCAATGTTTCTGTGCTTCAGTATCTTCCATCACCTTCACGGTTGCTAAGTTGTATGGATCCTCTTTTACATATGGGAGTCGTGTTGCGGTGTATTGCAGGCATGTTTTTAAAAGTAATTTTGTGATATGAATTTATTATTGGCTGCTAACTATGTCCTCGTCTACTATATTTATATTTACATCAATTCCTTAATATTATAAAACATTTCCTTATCAGCTTATACTGGAAAGCCAATAAATCACACTGCAAATAGTGACAGATCCGAACAGAAAGATACTGACAAAGGTGGCCACAAAAGTTTACAAGAATATGTAAAGCAAGTACAAAAAATGCAACGAGACGATACAGTAGGTTTGGAGGTGACTTTGACACGATTTTTTAAATTTTTAAGTACAGTTTTTACATTTTTATTACTTTTATTTAAAAGTTGAGCTGATCGCATCATAAATAACATTCATAAATAATAATGCATCATTAATAATAAAAATATGATAAACAACATTGTAGGGCTCTTCATCGATTGTCTCTTTGGTGAATTTAGCTGATATCACATCCACAACAGAGATACATAATATGTCGGCAATTTCAAAAGCTAAAAATAAGCAAGGATTCAGCGATGATACCAATGTTAGCGAAGAGGATGAAGATGACACCTGTCTCTCACGAGTCCAGGTGCTTTATTTCTCGATTGTGCAATAAGATACGTTTTAAGAAATGGGATTCCACATTTTATTTGAGATGGAATTATGAGTCTTTTGGTTTTTTTGGCTGTTTATTTTTTTGGTATTTTAGAATACCGGAAAATATTCCTGAAATTTTAGATAGACTAAAGGGTTATAACTTTATGTTTATCGACCAAGCATATTCCGTTGATACTGACAACTTAAATATTGGCTGGATTATATGAAATGATTGGGAGCCTCTTCGTATACTTTTAATTGTGTCACTATTAGTTGATTATGAATAATAAAAAAAATCACATAAAACGAATTTTTGATCTAAATTTGTTTTTGATAACTAATTCCAGATAAAATCAGATCCGCTTCATATTCATCTTTCGTTAAATATGTATGATCGACGACTGGTAGATTATTTAAAAACTCACCCACTCACCAAGGAGTACGCATATTCTTGAACTTTGTTATGCTACATTTCTAATCAATAAATAAGAAGTGTTTTCTGTTTAATTTGAGTTTACTTTGCGATTTAATCAAATAATTTTTTTTAAAGTCTGTTAAATAGAATTTTTTCTATTTCGATTATTCTTGAAGAATGCTTTGCAAAATATCAGTTATTTAGCACTTTGATTCTCGTGGATCATGCTGGTTGTATAGAATCTTCGGAAAAGAAAGAAGAAATAATGAATGTGGAAGGGAATAAACAGTTTTCTCGTGTTTCAAAGTTTACAGCTTTGCTGAGTTCACCATCGGCGATAATTCCGAAAGAGTTATCTCCACAAACAGTTACATCAGCCGGAAGTTCCACGCGATCTAGATTCATGCTTACTTCATTGAGTTCTCACAGCATCGTAACAAAAAATGAATCGTTGGTATATTTTTAATTTTATTTTTCTCGCAGCGGTGATGAAGGACACACTTATAACTGACTTAAAATTTAAAACAATTTTATATCCTATCTAATAAAATCTTTTCCAGTGTTTGCATTTGCTTGAACTATTTTGTCAAAAATTTCTAGACACATAAGCGAACTCTCAGTCAGAGTCTTGTCGGCGCAGCGGCCACTGCTGCTGGACATGCTTTAGATAATATATCTGATTGGTTCGAAAAATCACCGATACTCGCATTGGATAAGCCTAAACTTGATCGAGCTGTTTCTTTGACACCTACCATGGCGTCGAAGACAGAAAAGAAGGTAAGCTTGACGCTATATGCTTTGTAAATTTAGTCGCGATCAGAACTGTTTTTTGACGGAAGCATAATAAATTTTAAAGTAATTTTAAACTATTCCAGGAAACTAAAAATAACTGTAACAAATCATATATTGCTGATATAATAGACAAAAAAGTGCCGAGAGATCCACTCATATCTCCAATATACGCATCACCAGAGGATCTCGCACGATTGCCCCCCACTTGGTTTGTGGTACGTTTTTAAGTGTTCTTTTACCATAAAACTTTTGCCATAGCATAAAATTATAAAAGCTTCAAAAAAACACCATATATAAAAATACTTTTATATATGCTTACTTGGCGAATCTAATATAGGCATGCCATCTGGATCCGCTTTTGGATGATACGATCACATTTGCCAAGAAAATGCGAGATGCTGGCGGCCGAGTAATGGCTGTTGATATTCTTGATAATCTTCCACATGGTTTTCTTAATTTTACACTTGTATCGCCTGAATGTCGTGAAGGTGCCAAAATTTGTTTGGAACGAGTCAAAGAAGCATTTGGTATAATTGAGACGTCTCCTGCATCTTAGAATTAGGTTTTGTTTAGACAATTTGCAGAATAATGGTCAGCATTTCATAATAATTATAACTTCGATTGTCTCTTTTTACATTCAACTTAGATTTTCATATCCGATGGAATTTCAACTCATTTTCATTCATTTCAGAAATTGCTATAGATTCAAATTTGGATTTTTAATTCAAAGAATATTGGATGCCTTTCAGATAATTATGTTCTGTGATTTTCGAATTTTTGTTTTTTTTGCTATAAGTAGCATTAATTTATTTCTTTCTACGAACATTCTAATTTATTTCTTCTTATGAACATATAAGTTATCATCACAATGAGGTGCAGATATATCTATATATTTTAGCTGGCTAAATAAGTTTTCGTTTAATTTCCCTAATCTCTGCTATGTGATTAAATGCGGTGATTTAATCAAATTCTGTCGTTGTAACACTTTCTTTGCACTATCTCTCAAAGTTGAGTTTTTCCGTAGTCCGGTTTTCAGTCTTTGTTTCTCATTACTGACGTTTAAATATCCGTAGGCCGTAAACCCCGGTATTTTTACCTAAATTTCATATGATGACACAAAAAGTTCACGTTTGAGGTTAAGGATAAACTGAATTTGCAGTTTTTATTTTTCGAATGCAACAATGTTTTTAAGTTTTGTAATAACAGAGGTTTTCAGGAAATAAATTGCAATAAATTTGCGTATGGCAAGATCTCTTATTATTTTAGCAAAATATGAAAAATGCCATACATTAACTGTATTTAAAATTTATGGCTAAGAAGTGTTCGCTTGTGCTTTTTAAGAAATGCTATGAAATTTCATGCTGGTTCAATGTACTTGTATTTGTTTCGCACAGAGATTTTTCAGTGAAATCACGCATTAAATGATCTCCTAAGATATCGTCAATTTTATGCCGATGTCGTAGGAGATTCTGCATCTATCCAGCGTATTCTAAAACCGAATTGAAATAATTGGATTATATGCAGGAATTTGTGCAGTGACTTCGAATAAAGTACACATCAAAATGCTTCAAACAACTAACAGAGCTAGAGGATTAAAATTTCATGTCATTGCTCCATATGAATTTTCTTGTTTCGTGGTATTGGTCTTTATTGATCATACGTTATTATCCCAAATTATACTTTTGGTTACATCTAAAAAGATTGCGGTAATGCTTTCTAATTAGTGAAAAAATTGATGCTAAAACATTGTTGTTAAATGAGACAAAAGTTCTGTTGGGAATAAAATGAAGTCGATTCTTTTTGCTAAGGATATCAGCTTTAAATCTTGTGTCAAGCACTTCATGTGGTTAATAAGGACAAATCCTGCAATATTCTAAGGAAAAGAAAGCAGAATTCATCTGTGGGCTTGCGACAGGAACTGCTTGTCGCTGAATTGAATGTGTCCCAAACAGATTTTCGGGAAGTTTTGCTGAGAACATAAGGCATGAAATCATGTTTGCATAAAATGAAATTTGAGATACATCATGTATGTTCAGCTGAATATCAAGGATTGGTTGTTCTTTCAAAAACCGAATTTAGGGCGGAAGTGTGCGGCAGCAGAAAAGAGGCAGTCTAAATTAAAAATACATAAGACTATTGAGAGGATGGCAAGAAGCATAAAAAGCATCTGTGGAGTGAATAATATAAGTGAATAAATTTTGCTCCATGTGTTTGTACGGATATATACATATACATATACATATATATATTTATGTGTATGTGTGTGTATGTATCTGTCTGTCTGTGTGTGCATCAAATCAAGCAATGAAATGTTGCTATGGAAGCGTTTGGGGAGGAAATACGGTAGGTGGGCATTTGCTTTGGCAGTAACATTTTGAGTGCTCAGGATGCTTGAAGTAATCTAAAGTTTAGTTAGCTCTTAAATCATTTTATTAAAATGGAGAAAGCAAATTTCCACTTATTACCACTATTTTTGTCATTATCCGTTAACTGACTAGGGAGTTTTTGTCAGTAAACTATTAAAATTATCCACAGTATCATTACCTGTTGATTAAGTATCATCGATGGATTATCACCGATTAGCTTCTTCTACAAAACAGCATGTGAAGCGGGAAGTGAAGTCAATTGGAGCAGCAGCAACGATCGCTCTCGGTTAGTTAGCGGATTCACTAACGATTTGATTGATTGTTACGGTTGTTTTCTGTATACATATGAATGGAAATAAAATGATATCGAGATTATATGCTTTTAAATAAATACACTTCTATACATATGTACGCATTTGTATATAACTGGTGCTGTAAAACTCACTTAGAGGAAATGAGGGAGCTTTGGTTCAAGAAGCGAAGAAAAGCTTTGCCAGTTTTCTCCCAATCGTTAGCTCACTTCCATTCTCTGCTTTTTTCACCAAATCTCGCTCGATACGTCTTGCTTCCTGTTTCCAGTTTCCTAACCGGATATTCGAAAAGCATATTTATTCACCACTAATCATTAACACAATTATATCTCAAAATATACCATTTCCTGGTACTTTTTTTTCCTTTCATATCCTAGCTCTCCTTTCGATTTAACCAAGACGCTCTGATAGAGATTATTTTAGCTCATTATTCGCCCTTTTTTCCTAGCTTCAATCTATTATTTTACAGTTTCCTCATTTTTCTTTCTATTTTAAAATTTGCATTTTTTTAAATGATAAATTTTCAATTAATTTTTAATATAAACAAATATTCGACTCAAAATTTCGAAGAATGTATCAAAAAATGGTAAGATTTTAAGTGATAACAGAGATTATATTTTGCTTGTAAAGAGATGAAAGAGGATGGAGGACTGAAATATTTGAGGTACTAAAAGATTTTGAGAAAATATTCTCAACTATGCATATTTTTATGTCAGTGTGGTTTGTTTTTTGTTGGACACTAGCTGATTTATTCATTGCTATTTAGAATTATAAAGAAATTTTTGAAAAATTCTAAATTCGGAATGCGAAGTGAATTGAATAACATACAAATCTGATTGATTTTACAATCGTTCGCTCACTTGTTTATTGGTCATTATTTGTTTACACCTTCACAAAATTTCTGTATCAATCGAAGGCTTTGATTACAATGAATAATATCTTTTTTGAAGGCTTCTATCAAATTAATTAACTGTCATTTAAATATGAGATAGTTGTGGAATTGTACTTTGATTTTAATTTAGAACTACTATTTCGCGTAAAATTGTGGTAATTGTAGGTCAGAATGAAGACAGGCCTGGTGTGCGGTTGGATGCACCAACAACTACCTTAACACACTTGCAGCATAATTTTATTTATCCAGGTTTGCTCTTTTTTTATAAACGATCTTCAATTCAAAACGCAACAAATTTTTAAATCTATTAGTTGCTAGTAATTTGTTTATTACGCTACGCTACGCCACAGTAGAATAATAACTTTTTAATGTTAATGAGTAAAATTCATATTTTGTAATGAAATTCAATGCATTTTGTATTTTTTTAAATAAATGTCAACATTTTAGGAAATTATACTAGAATGGAATTTATGCTAGATGCATAATTTTAAATGACTTGTTCTCAAGAATTTAACTACAAAAAGCGCATACTAAAATTAAAATTTAATAGAATGATTTGATGAATTGAAATACGCTCCACTAATCAGATAAGCTTGAAATTTTGTGCATCATACATTGATTTATTTAATTATTAAGGGTTACAGTTGCTCTGATTTTAAACTTTTTTACTTAAATATTCAGTTACGCTAAAAGCATTCTGTTGTCAATTTTCTGAAACATTTTAAAAATATCAATTTCATAAGATCTGAACTCAACTACGTTTAAATGTTTATGACTTGATAACTTTGGTCACTAAATTAACATCAAATAAAGTTGTTTGTGGTTCTCTCTATGAGTTGTTATAACATTAAATAATTTGAAAAGATCCAAAAATTTATATTCGAAAATTTTTTAAAAAAATTAACCCTTTCCTATTATAGGAAAGGGTAATCTTTTTTCTTTTTTTCATTTTTTTGATGATGGCTTCCTTAGGAGCTTACCAATTTCCCTATCTTCGACGTATTCTTTTTTGTACCTTAAGTGTTATACCAAAACACTCTGAAATACAATATAAATACGCATGAGAGAACACTTTAAACTTATCAATTTTTGAACTATTGTTAAATCATTTTAAACTTAGCGAAAGTTCGATGAATTTATCAAGTCATTCATAAAATTTTCGCACATATAATCTGTACTAAGCTGAGGAAGTAGCAGTAGTAGTAGTAGTAGTAGTAGTTGAGTCGATTGCTACCGTATTCAAATGGATAACAGCAATGTTCATCGGTGTGAGCGAATTAATGACGACATGGGGAGTTGCCAGCACA